TTTTCTTTTTGCTTATGTGGTGCTGGGGAATCAAACCCAGGGCCTCAGGCATGCAAGGCAAGCGCTCTACCACTGAGCCACCTTCCCAGCCCCCCAGCAAATGATTTTTTTCCTCTCTTGATTATAACACTGCTGGTAAGGATTCTGAAGAAGTAGAATAAAGGTGGGAAATTGATACCACCTTTCTTCAGGATAATTAGGCTTGGTTATCAAAACCATTAACATTTTATAACTAGTAATTTCACAGCTAAGTTCATCTTCATGGAATTAACAGACTCAAGCAAAGATTTAGATACAACTATGCCTGTCACAGATTGCCTATAATAAATATCAAATATTAAATAATAATAAAATGAAAACTGGGTGCCAGTAGCTCACACCTGTAATCTTAGCTACTTAAGAGGCTGAGATCTGAGGATGGAGGTTCAAAGCCAGCCCAGGCAGACTGGGCACACAGCCCAGTCTGTGTGCCTACCATCCCCAATTAACCACCAAAAAGTTGGAAGTGTAGCTGTAACTCAAACTGGTAGGAGTGATAGCCTTCAGCAAAAAAGCTCAGGGATGGCTCCCAGGCCTTGAGTTCAAGCCTCTGGACTAGCACACATAAAACAAGACAATTAATAAAATAGAATACACCACATTCTTAAATATCTTTTGTTATGTAGGAATGGGTAATGAAATGAAGTATATCATTTATTTTTCAAATAAAAGAACATGTTTGTAGAAATATTATGGTTTAAAGTGGAGGGCTAAGTCCTCCACAAAATATATGCACTTGTCCCTCCTCCATGGTATAACCCCGTTTTCACTGTATTTGATGTTGGTATAATTTGTAGAGTGGAAGGGAAAAAACAAATTGTTTAAATAGGGATACAGGTGGACCCATTGCAACAATGAGATGTACAAGATGTTATGTCAAAAAATGAACTTTACTACTTTGGCGGGGGGGGGGGGGGGGGGGGGGGGATGGGAGAGCAGGGATGGTAAGGGGAAACAAAGGAAGAAGCAACAATGCTTGATAAGAAATGTACTCATTACCTTGCTCATGTAATTGTAACCCCTCTGTACAGTATTTTCACAATAAAAAAACTTATTAATAAATATATATGTGCACCATTAAAAACAAGACAATCCCGAGGGAAAACAATTATGGCAGAATTTTCATTTTCTATTCAGTTCTTTCTATGCATAGTCAACAACAAAGAACAAACTGAGTGTGGTGGTATACACCTGAAATCTAGTACTTGGAAGTCTGAAAAAAAGAGGATCCAGGAGTTTGAGGCCAGATTGGGCTACATAGTGAGACTTACACACACATACACATAGAAGAGGGATGGGGATTTCAACTCAATAGCAGAATGCTTTCCTACCGTATGTGCAGCCTGAATGAAAACCTAAGTAAACAAAAGTAAAATATTTGTTTCCTTAAATTACTTATGTAGAAAAGCTTACAGAGCTAGCCAACCCCCCCCCAAAAAAAAAAAATCATGGGATTTGACTACAATATTTATGTGAAAGAGTAGCCAAGAACCTGTGTCATCATCCAGGGTTTGGGAAAGTTCTCCATATTAAATCCCATGCTTTCAGTCAGATTTACTAAAGTATGTATACTCCATTAAGTTGTATAAATGCTTCAAAAGCAGAGACCACCTTTCTCATCTACATATTTCTGCAATATAATGAAAGAGTTCATTTACTGTTTTCAACAGCATTGATAGTTAATGTATGAATAAAAGAAACACTTATTCTCTTGGTAGTGCCTCACAAATCCTTCAAAAAAACCTACTAAAAATCCTACTTAAAATTAGGATATACTGAAAAGCAGGAAGAAAAAAGCAGAAAAAAAATTAATGAGAGAGGCATAATCTAAACAGGAAGAGGTAAATCTCTTGAAGAAAACTCAAGAACTCTGAAAGGTAGTGCTAGGATTTTTCCAACACAAATCCTGGAAAGTAACTTCTACTTACTTGAGAACAGCAATCTCTTGAACTGTTATAGCCCTTTTATCTTTGGTGCCCATATATGAGAATATGTTTGGCTTGACTCTGGTAAGACAGAAACAGGATAATTCGAAGTCACAAACCTTAAGAAAATCACATTTCTCATCATTTAAGTTTCAAAATAAAATATGCTTAAATTAATAACCAACATAGTAACAAAATGTACTTAAAATAGTAACATTGAAAATAGGGAGAAACCCTATTTTAAAATTTATCTATGAAAATACAAATTCACAATGCTATTTTGTATAAAAAAAGCCAAAAGCTAAAATAGGGATCTGAATTGTTTTGATATGAAGATACATGAAGCTTACCAAGGAGAATTTGTGACCCCTGAATATTTACAACTCTAAATCTCAGAGGCATTCACCACTGTCTATTCCCCAATCAGGAGTTTGTTCTCTAGGGAACAGAGTACCACAACTCTCTCCCAGGAAGCTAGTAAACAAAGTGAACTAAAATATTACTAAAATAGGTACTGTGTGAAGGGGCTGAATTGTCTCCCTCAAAAGCTCTAACCCCAGTACTTCAGATGTAGCTATTTGAAAATAGGGCCGTTAGAGAGGTGACCAAGGTTAAAATGTGGCCATCAAGTGGAGCTAGTCCAACCTCAAGACAGGCCTCTGTGGAGGACATAAACCTGTTGACATCTTAATCTTAAGCCTATAGAACTGCTGTGGTTTAAGCCACTGAGTTGCTGGTATTTGGTGATGGCTGTCCTAACATGGTAATATTGTTACAATGTTTAAACTGAAATTACCAATACAGTCATGGTATTGTATCTATAGCTATAGCCATTTCTATTGAAAACACACACACACACACACACACACACACACATACACAAACACACACACACACACACACCTCTCCCCCCCTCCCCTCCAGGATGTAATCCTAGCTGCTCAGAAGGCTTGCTTGAAGTTAGTCTGGACAGAAACATCTTCAAGATTCTATGTCCAATTAACGGCAAAAAAAAAAAAAAAAGCTAGACTACAGGTATGGCTCAAGTGGTAGGGTGCCAGATATGAGTAGAAAAAGGCAAGCAAGCAAGAAAACAAGGCCCTGAGTTCAAGTCCAAGTAACAGTACAAAAAAAAAAAAAAAGCTTTGGCACCTGACTCATTCAGAGACCACTATCTATTATATTTATATTCCTTTGAGAAAAATCTGACTTGGCTTACTCAGGAAACCCAAGAATTGAAAGCATCTACATTCATAAAGCCAATCCCATGGAAGCACATGAAACTATAGACTTTGAGAAGAGAAAGTTTGTTTTTCTGTTTATCTGGATGGACAAATCATTACTTCTAGATTATCATCTTGAATTACCAGCACAGAGGTTAAAAAGAATTTTATCTCACCTACTGCTTACGAAAACTACACTTATATACTGATCTATGTTCTGCTTTCCTTCCATTAGCAAGGAAAGAGGAAACACATTCCTGTTGTTTTGATTTTATATTAGAACAAGATACTAACCTTAAGTATTTGGACAGCACATTAATAGCATCCATGGTATCTTTGTTTTCCTTGTATAGAACAAAGTGGCAGTAACTTCCCCTAGATTTTGGCCAAGAATGTTTTCTCGGATCTTAAAAACAAAAAATTATATGTTATATATATGTCATAATAGTTATTTTGAGAGTTTTTAAATGTAATTCTACGTAGCTCATTTTTTGTTACAAGATCTTTAAGACACAAAGCAGACCTAGCATGACAGGAAATATGGCTTAAGCGGGTATAGCCATTAGAAAATAGACATTAAACTTTCTCTGAACACTTAACATTTGTCTATATGTAGGTAATATAAAAAATGAATAAGATAAACCATCAGTCTTCATGTAACAGCTACACAGAAGAGCCTGTGGTACAGGAATACTAAGCTAACTTACGTCCAACAGGGCCTACTGGTCTAGGCCACGTGCAGTTCAGAGGCAAACAGCTATTACGAGGAACTTACCAGCTTGCCTCACAGCTAGACAGGTGTTCACACACAGAGCGGCAATGAGTAGGGACAGAGATTGTGAAGTATGGCTTTGGTGATACAATTAAATTTTCCAGGAACAACTACCACTGCAAGTTTAGCTAATGTCTACAATAAATTCACAAATGTCTACCTGATAGAGTGGTTAGCATTCAAGACCTGATTGTCTCTTCCAGGAGAAAGGAAACTAAGAAATTAAACCTCATTAAATGCTAACTTCTAAGTCACTATGATTTGGATGGAAACTGGAAAACACTGCATGACTTGGGAGAATTTGACTTTTAATATTGTTATTTTAACTGAATCTTTCAATTCCATTGTAATCTAGAACCATACATTCAAACAATAAAACATTTAGATTTAAGCTGCTCAAAGAATATTTTGAAAAATTGATAAAGGAACAATACATAAGCCACAACTGTACTGTGCAGACATTGTGCAACATTCATAAATCCCATGTGAAAGAGCTGCAGCTGTTATTTGAAGACCATTTCTAGTTCATTTGCCTTCTATAACTCCACAAAAGAAACTATGAAATAGTATTTTGCACAACAACATAAAATTTTTCTTTTATAGCCCCTTTTTCTTTCTCCTTAAAAAAATCTTCTCACATAAACTCATGAATCCTTTCCTTCAGAGGCTTAAACTGCTCCCGTTACTAAAGGTAACTGTCTATCTAGCTTTGTCAAGGCAAGAGCTGCCTGATAACAGATTAGTAACTTTGGCTAAAATGTAAAGAATCAATAAACCCTCCCATAAAACTGCCATGGTATATATGACTAGTAAATCATTTTCATTCTTGATAAATATCTAAGTTGTTTTTCTATCTAGTATAGAAAAGTATCAAGTATACTCTTGGTGTCAATTACTCAATTTCTTCAGAAAACTGAATGGGAATTTTTTTTATTAGTTTTTCTTCCAGCTCACTAGCAGTTAATGAAGTTGTCCACATTTCGCACTTATGAAAAAATCATTGGCATTTCATTTTATCTACATGAAACACCAACTGCTCTTACCTGCTGTAGTTCTGACCTCTGTCCAAATGCACAGCATAAGGAGCACAAAAGAGCAATGTTTATAATAATATTAAGGTGCTTTAGAGGTGAACATGCAATGAATCGCATGGTAAGTTTAATACTAAGAACTTCTAGAGCATGTGGTACTTATGTGGTAGATTAACAGCCATTCAGACATAACAGTGGAATGTTGCAAACAAGTAGAAAACTCACCTACAGGTACAGCTTCCTTGTCTCAATCCATTCACAATGGGTGTGTCAATTCATACTCTAAGCTACATTGCTTGTATATATGGGATACAGCAAAAGATACTTCTACCTCAACCTTCCAAATGATGCTTCTCCATCTAGAGATTTGTTTTTGTGTATATGAGAAGACATGTCCAAAATTTTTTATCTTTGGTGCTGAATATGGTAATTGTTTTGCTTTATATTTTTTCATGCTTTATAAATTTCCTACATTGAAGTATATTTGAAAAATACTGATTAGAGTAATACTAGTAACACTCCTTAAATCTGTAAGAGATGTTAGAAGATTTAAGATATGATTTATGAGACATCTATTCAGTGCAATGGTCTGACCTTATTTTTATCATTATTTGGCAAAGCCACATGTACAGTTTTTGAGACGTTCAGGGAAAAATTAAACATATTGGGTTACTAGATACTAAGAAATTATTATTATTTTGCCAGTCCTGAGACTTGAAATTAGGGCCTGGCCAATCTCCCTGAGCTTCTTGTGCTCAAGGCTAGCACTCTACCACTTGAGCCACAGTGCTCTGTTTATGTGGTACTGAGGACCCGAACCCAGGGCTTTATATATGCTAGGCAAGCACTCTACCACTAAGACACATTCCAGCCCAAGAAATTATTATTGGATATGATATGGCTAGTTCTTTTTGTTTTGTTTTTTTTTCGGTCATGGGGCTTGAACTCTGGGTCTGGGCGCTGTCCCTCAGTTCTTCAGCTCAAGGCTAGCACTCTACCACTTGAGCCACAGCACCACTTCCAGCCTTTTTTGCTTATGTGGTGCTGAAGAATCAAACCCAGGGCCTCATGCATGCAAGGCAAGCACTCTACCACTGAGCTACCTTCCCAGCCCCTGATATGGCTAGTTCTTACCTGGTAGACACATACTTAAGTATTTGCTTTAAAATGCTCCAAGAAAAAAAAGTGTAAGAGAAGGATCAAAGGATCAAAGCAACAGAATGTTTGAAGGTGGTTACACAGAAGTTGTATATATTACTACTTCCTCTATTTGTGTGCAAGTTTGAAAAGACCCATAATAAAAGCTTAAAAACAAGTGTGCTACTAGCTGTTTAGTGCATTCACAAGTATAATGTTGAGAAATGAGTAAAGCTACAAGACTAAAAATCTAAATAATATTCCTCTTGCAAGAAACTGTAATGCAAGCCGGGCTCCGGTAGTGCATGCCTACAATCCTAGCTACTCAGGAGACTGAGATCTGAGGATCATGGTTCAAAGCCAGCCCAGGCAGGAAAAGGCCATGAAACTCTTATTTCCAAAAAACCACCAGAAATCTGGAAGTGGTGCTGTGGTTCAAGTGGTAGAGCGCTAGCCTTGAGCTGAAGAGCTGAAGGACAGCACTCAGGCCCAGAGTTCAAGCCCCAGGACCAACCAAAAAAAAAAAAAAGAAGAAAGAACGAACCTGTAATGCATTCTATTAGCAAGTCACTGAACGTGCATAAAACTATCTCCTCTGTAAACACCAAATGGAAGTATTCTTTTTCTAAGTGCACTCAATAGTCAAGGATTTGTGCTGGGAATATATGAATATATATATATATATATATGCAAATTTTTTGCAGGGGAGGGTGCCAGTCCAAGGCTTAAATTCAGGGCCTATGTGCTATCTCTGAGGTTCTTTTTTCTCAATGCTAGCACTACCATTTAAACCACAGCTCTACTTCTGGCATTTTGGTGACTAACTATAGCTAAGAATCTCACAGATTTTCCTACTTGGGTTGGTTTCAAATCACAATCCCTAGTTCTCAGCTTCCTTGAGTAGCTAGTAGCTAAGATTATGCCTAGCAGCCTTAATTTGAGCAATTTTTCTTACTTTATTAAATAGTTCCTGGAATGCTACATATTATTTAGCCTTACAATTCAGGTGAAGGTAAGACAACTTCCAAATATTTTTGAGACACTACAATTTATAGCATAATTGCAAATTCCTAGGCTAGGTAATATAATTCCAGGAGGTTGCTTCCATCTTCTTAGGGACTGACATAGCAGCCCAGATAAGCAGAAACAGAAACTAGATAAAACAGGAAAACATGTTCAGGAATAATCATGTATTAAGCAAAAGGTCCTCATGAATAAAGAAGGAAAAATGTATATAGCCCAAAAAAGACGTGATGGAGCAACACACAAAACATTCTTCCTATTTAAGTCCTTTCTCACCTCTGTATCCCTGTACACCAATCTCTTAGCTTCTTCAATGATTCTACCCCATCCACTATCTTTACCTAGTCTCCTTCCTTAATTTCTACTCTTTTTTTTCCATTGGCTCTTTCTCTTCAGTATATAGTCCTAGCTCTTCCATCATAAAAGCCAAATTTATTTCCTCTTTTCCTCAACCATGTTCCCTTCCTTTCTCTCTCTTTAGTTTGAGAAAACAACACGTATACGGCCCTTCACCAAAACATACTGTCTAAACTGGTTTCCAACCTCCTCAATCCATTAAGACTGCTTTGGCAAAAAGAAACCAGTGATATCCACATTACTCAACTGGTAGACATGTTTCAGAGTCCTTAACTGACTGTACCTACTTGGGACATTTTTCTACTGCTAACCATTCTGATTATTGAGATTTCTTGTTAATGAATAATCTATAATGCTAGTCCCTTGCACAGAGCCTCTTTATTTCTGCTAAGCTCTTCCTTCTGAGGAAGAGGCATCCCAGGGATGCCACCTAGAAACCATTTCAGAAAGGGATCACAGAGCAGAATCCTTTTTCCTTCCTTCCTTCCTTTTTTTCTGAGACAGGTTGTCATTATGTAACCCAAGCCGGCTTTAAACTTGTGATCTTTCTGCTTTACTTCTCAAGTTAAGAGATTACAGGAAAACTGGAGGTGTGAATCAAGTAATAAAGCACTAGCTGTGAGTGAAAAATGCTAAGCAAGACCACAAGATCCTAAGTTTCAAGATTAGAGTATCAGCACAAGAGAGACAGACAGAAGCAGATATTAAGGGTGTACTATCATGCTGCACCCCAGAATCTTTTCAAAAATTTAAGTCTGAAACAAGTACAGAGAAGCATTTGAAATGTACACTCTCTCAAAATCAAGTTAACTTACTTGTTTATGTAATAGTTAAATATCTTTAGAATATTGCAAATCTGCCAGATAATGCACAGCCCATCAATAACAATTTATAATAGCATTTGGTAGTAAGTTTAAAAACATTACTGCAAAGTTAGGTGCCAATGGCTCACATCTATAATCCTACCTACACAGGAAATTGGGATCTGAGGATTTCAGTTTAGTCATATCTCCAATTAGCCAGCAAAATGTCACAAATGCAAGAGTAGCAGGGCTCAAGGGGTAGAGTACCAGCCAAGAGCAAATCCCAGTGATAGCACAAGGAACTGAGTTCAGCCCATCAACACAGAAACAAAACAAAAAAAACATTATTGCAATTGTTGCAATGAAGCCTTAAAGTCCTACACATTCAATTTTAGGTAAGGTGGCCCAGGAGAATAAGTTGTTGTTAGTACAGAGTTCTATTTGCAGGTTCAAAACAACAGTCTCCTGATACCAGCTCTACTGCTTTTTGTTTTGTTTTTGGTGGGTCATGGGCTTGAACTCTGGGCCTGGGCGCTGTCCCTCAGCTCTTCAGCTCAAGGCCAGTGCTCTACCACTTGAGCCACAGCACCATTTCTAGCTTTTTCTGCTTATGTGGTGCTGAGGAATCAAACCCAGGGCCTCATGCATGTGAGGCAAGCACTCTACCACTGAGCCACCTTCCCAGCCCTCTACTGCTTTTTTAAATAACTGGCATTTACTTAATGCCATTTTGAGCTTGTGGATGGGAATAATTGTGTAGAAAATGCTGAATGCAGGTTCCTAGGTGACTGGGCCACAGACAAGTATTCTGTGAAGTAGTGGAAGAGTAGTGCTCCAAGGCAGATTTAGTCTATCTTTGACTAAGTGTCACAATCCTTAAGCCCAACACATTTAGAGCTCAGTGCAAAGGCTGATCCAATCTGATCTGTCTTTTTGAGTCTATGTAAGACAAGAACTGCTTTTTACTGAAGATATCCAAAGGGAAATGGGGAGGGGGGGTTAATGTTACATAGGCTTAGCATTTCAACTTGAAAACCTTAAAAAAAAATGACTGGAAAAAAAAGTGGGTATGGAATAGGCACAGAAAATAGAAATGTAGACAGAACCTGAGTGATAGGCATGATATTCAAGAGAAGAAGGCAGGAACACTTAGGCCTACCTTGGCTTGCAAACTCTCTGCTTTGCTCTCCTCATAAAACTTAGCATCCCTAAAGAAATGAGGATCATTCCCAAGAAGCAACCACTCAGAAAGATAACGTCTGACTTTTCCAATTTGCTTCATGACCATCCTTTGCCGAGAGTGGCTGGCCAAATGATGGTAATCAATATAGGATGCTTCCCTAGCAGCCACCCACTGCACTCACTCCTTTAGAGAACTAGAGAACTGAGACCAGATGCCCAAGGGTATTGTTATATGTAGTAAATTACCTCTCTATTGTTACTAGCTATATACAGTCCTTAGAAGAACTGAAAAAAGTTACTAAGATTATTTCCTACAGGGCTTATCCCTTTTGAGCAACCGTGGCTGAAGGCTATAAGGAACTATTCTGTAGGGTTCGTAACTAAACACCACAGAAACATGTAACAACAGGCAGATCCTCCTGCCTCACTCTCCCAAATGCTGGGATTACTAGATACATGTACTATACCTGGCTTCATTTTCCTTTTTTTGGTATCAAATGAGAAGTGACTTTTGACCTCAACCTCCTCTTCCTCCACACTAGACTCACAAGGCTTCTTGTCTCTGTGATGATTTTCTCAGGCTTAGTCACCCTTCCTCTGTTTCTTTATACTCTTTCATTTCATTAGAACCAAAGTAATGAACAATAAAGGCTTCATTCACTCACAGTATTTAACATTTAAATTAAAGAAAATACTGACAGAGGGCTGGGATGTAGCTCAGTGGCAAAGCGCTTGCCTAGCAAGTGCAACGTCCTGGGTTCGATCCCCAGTACCAAAAAAGAAAAGACAAAAAAAAAATACAGTTAAAAAAAAAAAAGAAAGAAAATACTGACAGAGCCCTAACGGTTCCAACCATCATAGTCTTGGTGTTTTTCTTTCAACAAATATAACTTTTTTTTTTTTTTGGTGGTCAGTTGTAGGATTTGAACTCTGGGCCTGAGTGCTATCCCTAAAGACCTCTTCAGCTCAAAGCAAGCACTCTACCACTTGAACCACAGCACCACTTCCAGTTTTCTGGTAGTTAATTGGAGATAAGACTTTCTTGCTTGGGCTGGCTTGGAACTGTGGCCCTCAGATCTCAGTCTCATGAGTAGCTAGGATTATAGGCATGAGCCACCGATGCCTGGCTCAACAAATGTATCTAAAACTAACTGAAGACTAGTAGGACAGAACTTGAAAGATGTTGTGCTAGTTACTAGTAGGGAAGAAAGGTAAGGCAGAACTTTTTGCTATTGTAATTTTCATAAACATTGTAGCTGATGGTTTAATAAGGAAAAGGAACAGATCTAAATTTTCTGCTTTCTATGTAAATAGAAATCTACATGGCTGAAGAAACAATATTACAACATAATACTTAAGTAATTCACTGATAATACATTCATTTCAAATGAATACACAGGAGAAGATGGGTTTACTGGAGTATATGGTCATGTTCCTAAATATACCATAGTTTTTATGTATTGACATTCCTAGTTGGGAAGCCAAAGCAGAAAATTTGCTCCAGGGGTAAAAAAATAACAAGCATTTTAAATATTCATCAGAAAGTTTTCAGTCATCCATTAAGAACACAGGGTGAATTAGAAATGACAAAATAATGACATTTGCAGGGAAATGGATGGAGCTAAAAGAATCATGTTGAGCGAGGTAAGCCAAGAGCAAAGAGACAAACGGTACATGGTCCCCTGATAAGTGGATGTTAAATCCAAAATGTTAGATGATACGACAAAATTAACAGGACTTAAGAAACAAAGAACTTCCACTCATCTGGTCAAACCACTACTAAATAACCCCATGCTCCTGAGCACATGTATGGTGTAATATGTGTACACCTTTATATGTTATAGACCGTGATAGGCAATTTTTTTTTGGGGGGGGGTCTGGTCGTGGGGCCTGAACTCTGGGCCTGGGCGCTGTCCCTCAGCTCTTCAGCTCAAGGCTACCACTCTACCACTTGAGCCACAGCGCCACTTCCGGCTTTTTTCTTTTTTCTTATGTGGTGCTGAGGAATCAAACCCAGGGCCTCATGCATCAAGGCAAGTGCTCTACCACTGAGCCACCTTCTCAGCCCCTGTGATAGACAATTTGCTCCAGGAAAGTTAGAATGTGTTTGTGACTTTAAATGAGAATCACTATCCCACAATACTTTGAAATTTGGGAAATTATGTAATCACTTAATCACAATTAAAAAAAAAAAAAACACCAGAAAACTGGACGTGGCACTATGGCTCAAGTGGTAGAGCATGAGCCTTAAGCTGAATTGCTCAGGGACAGCTCCAAGGCCTAGAGTTCAAGCCCCACGACTGACAAAAAAAAAAAAAGAGAGAGATCTTTCATGCGATTGTTTCTAACATATTTATAAGATTATTTCTTTGTTGCTTTGTATGTCCCTCCCCCACAGTATAACCCCTGCTTTCACTATATATGATGTTGGTATATGTGGAGGGGAAGGGAAAAAACAAATCGTTAAAATAGGGATACAGGAGGACCCATTGCAACAATGAGATGTACAAGTCATTATGTCGAAAAATGAACTTTACAACTTTGGTGGGGGGGGGTGGAGGATGTGAAGGGATGGGAAGGGGAAACAAAGGAGGAGGCTACAATGCTTGATAAGAAATGTACTCATTATCTTGCCCATGTAATTGTAACCCCTCTGTACAGTATTTTCACAATAAAAAAAATTCATTAAAAAAAAAAAAAAGAACACAGGGTGAGTAATAATCCTCCCATTTTCTTTTTGCATGGCCACTCAGCCCATTTTGCTTTTCAGCAAATGTAGCAGCAAATGTAATATTACTAACATTTTCTCAGGCACTACTATAATTCTACAAATCTTTACTCACATACAAGATTGAACACCCCAAACCTAATAGCCTGCAAGACTGCTTTGATATCTGAAATGATTATTCAACCTCTCTAAAGCAGTGACATAATGGGTATCTTTCTCTGCACAACAGCAAGGCAGCCTTTGGTGACAACAAAGGCAAATGAGGAGGAGGATCTGTATCTCATGAGTGCCGAGCAAGATGGAGGAAGTCATTCCCACTTACTTGCCAAAGCCTTTTTTCCAGCTGCATGGTAGGCTACAATGTATTTTCTGCCTTCTCTATCCTCTGTTTTTGTCTCTAATCCTGGAAACAGAGATTTAATAGCTTGATGGATGATGGTTCTTTTCTCTTTGGTGTCCTCAATAACCTATTAAAAACAGAGTGACACTACCACTTTAGCAAGAATTAAATAGGGAGATAATACAACGAATTAGTAAAAAGAAAAAAACAGCTTACCTTATTAACTGCAAAATACCAAAACTGCCTGGCCTAACTTTGGAAATATTTTATAGCTTTCCAATTGCAATCCTAAGGGCCTGTGTGTTGACTGAGGCATACTAAGCACTATACCAAACACTACATACTCTGTTTTATTTAATCCTTATAATCTTCCTATCCTACCATCACTGTATCTATTTACAGCTGAGGAAAATGAGGCTGAAAGAAGTCATAGAATATGTTTGAGGTCATATAGCTAAGGAGAGCTGAATTTGATAGCAGACGGCTGGATTCAGAGGCTACCAAGCACAGAAGCCACTGCTCACCATCTCTGCTAGATAAATGCTTTAGGGAATCACAAAAACAACAATAACAAAAAGTAGGTGAATTAGACATTTAGAAACACTATCCCTTACACAAGTCCAACTCAGAACTGCCTCTTGAGTTGTTCTCTAATTAAATTATTATATAATGAAGTCCTAACACTTTAGTTCACTATAAACATAAAAAAACATCGAGCTGGGCGCTGGTGGCTCACGCCTGTAATCCTAACTACTCAGGAGGCTGAGATCTGAGGATCGCGGTTCAAAGCCAGCCCGGGCAGGAGAGACCATGAGACTCCTATCTCCAATTAACCACCAGAAAACCGGAAGTGGCACTGTAGCTCAAGTGATAGAGTGCTCGCCTTGAGCTAAGAGCTGAGGGACAGCGCCCAGGCCCAGAGTTCAAGCCCCACGACCGACAAAAAAAAAAAAAAAAACATCGAATCAACAAGGAAAATGTAACTTACTAGCTATACAACTTTTTTAATTTTGGAGGACATCACACTAATAAAAACCATTCTACTGCTACTCAAAAGCACAAATGATACATGTCACAATTTAAAAAACCAAACAATGTCACAAAACAATGCTGATACTGCTTTGAATGTACAGATATTTTCTATGTTGTTTACTACTCCATTTAAAAACCAGTGATTGGGAGATCTACAACCTGTTTTCTTAGTCTGATTTAATGAGTTACAACATAAGAACTACCATTCCTGGCTAAACTTGGTAACACTATAGGATTGTCTCTAGCCCCACCAGAAACCAGGAAGCCTTGGAGCCACATCAGGAGCACACATCTCACTAAGAGGCAACAGTGGTGCTGTTGCAACAATGCAACTGTCATTCTGTGGTTCTAAACAACAGATTTCTTTGTTGATTTTTTTTTGGTCATATTTTGCTCTGTGTGTGTGTGTTTGCTGGTACTATAGGGCTTGAACCTGTGTGTGTGTGTTTGCTGGTACTATAGGGCTTGAACCTGAGTTCTTGGTTAGATTTCTGTTCTACTGCTGGCACTCTAGTATGCCTCCACTTCTGCTGGTTAACTGGAAATAAGAGTCTGCATGGGCTGGATTCAAAATTTGATTCTCCCATCTCAGCCTCCCAAGTCCCCTATTCCTAAGAATTATGTAGGCTTAAGCCACTGGTGTCTGGCCATACTTTCATTTCTTCAAACAAAACCAATTTTGTTAGCTAGGCATGGTGATCCCCAGCTTTAATCTCAGTAATTCTGTACTACCATGGCTGAGGCAGGATGGAGTTTGAAGCCAGCCTGAGCTACATAGTAAGACATTCTTTCAAATGTAAGTCAAAACTTCTTTTTGTTATAATTAATCTGCTCTTGATAAAAATCTATTAGTAAACATGACCTCTCAGATTAAATAGGATTAAATCATCCCTTTTTAAGCAGTACAAATTTTATTAGTATGTACTAATTGTACAGTGTTTTCATACATACATATAAAGTATTTTGATACTGAAAGTACTTTGATATCAAACCTCTCATCACTGTCTCCCTTTACTTTCCCCCAGACTCCATTTGACAATCATGTTATCCTTCCCCTCCTTTCCTTTTTTTTTCTTTTTCTTTTAGGCCTGGATTCCACTTACAAGAGAGAATATGTGATCTTTGTCTTTCTCAGTCTGGCTTATTTTGCTTAAGATGAAAACATAGTAGCTAGGCACCAGTCTGTAATTTTAGTTATTTAGGAGACTGAGATCTGAAGATCTTGGCTTGAAGCCAGCCAGGGAAGAAAAATCTAGGAGACTCTTATGCCCTAATTTATCAGCACAAAACTGGAAATAGATATGGCTCAAGCCATAGAGCAATAGCCTTGAGCAAAAAAAGCGAAGCAAGAACATAAACTCCAGTACTGGCACATACACACACAAAAAACAATTGTTTTCAAGGGACATTTACGAACATCCAACCAAAAACAGCAAACAAAACTCTGAAAACCTTCTCATAGGTGTTTCTGAACTACTTACCTCAATGGCAACACTGGCTTCTTTATTTTTAAAAAGCTGGAGCTCTTCCAATTGCTGCTTTTCTTCAGCTGTCAAAACTGTAAACACATTTTCTGATGGGTCCTTTAAAATAATCATGAGAACTCAATGGGTCATACAGAACTCAAAAACAGTAAAGCTCTGTATTTCTATGATCTCTATAAAATGCTATTTTATACAAAAGGTGACATTTGCTAGAGAGCTACTCTACCTCTTCATCCACAGGAACAGACAAGTCATCCAAATGGCTGATCTGTCCATCTTTTCCAATTTCATGAACAATGAAATCAGAGTATCTGATGAAAAGAGAACAAAAATTTTTAGGGAATATTTATTTCCTATTAATTTTAGCACACAATGAGCCTTACTGTTGTACATAACAAGAGATTTCTTAAACATCAACAGTGTGAAGTCATATGAAGTTATTTCTTTCCCCTGGGTTTTCTAATAAAACCTTGGCTTGGCCTTACCAGAAATTTCTAGAATATGAATACTACCACGTGCATAAACAAAAGCTAAACATGGTTATATAAGCAGGCCATATTAAATCATAAAATATAGTAAATGGCTAATTAAATCAGAACCCTGTAAGTCTGCTAATAATACCCTAAGCTTGTAACTATATAAATACTTTATATACATTATTAACAATCTTTTAACAACTCCATTGTGATCCACGTTTTGGGTGAAGCTGAACTAAATTCACATCCAGAACCATCCTGTTCCAATTATCACCTTCTTGGGGCTGGGAAGGTGGCTCAGTGGTAGAGCGCTTGCCTTGCATGCCTGAGGCCCTGGGTTCGATTCTTCAGCACCACATAAGCAAAAAGAAAAAGGCTGGAAGTGGCGCTGTGACTCAAGTGGTAGAGCGCTAGCCTTGAGCTGAAGAGCTGAGGGACAGCGCCCAGGCCCAGAGTTCAGGCCCCACAACCGGACAAAAAAAAAAAAAAAAACCCAATTATCACCTTCTTTTTACTACATATGTGATAAAAGAATTTTAAGACTATATGACAAACTCAGGAGAAAACTAAAAACTATTTAGAAGAATTTAACAAAATAAACAGCACTAACCTACATACTAATAATGCATGTCATTGGACATTTTAATTTTATCTACTCAAAACAGTTCTGGGAAACATCTTCTCTTGATTAGAAATGACAACAGCCATGTAGTAATAGATATCTGTAGTCCCAGCACTCCAGAAGCTAAGGCAAGTCAGGCACACATGGCTCATGCCTGCAATCCTAGCTACTCAGGAGGCTGAGATCTGAGGACTGAGATTAGAAACTGGCCTGGGCAGGAAAGTCCGTGAGACTCTTATATCCAATTAACTAATTAAAAACCAAAGTGGCAGAGCACTTGAGCCTTGAGCAGGGACACTAGCTCAGGAACAGTACCCAGGACCTGAGTTCAAGCCCCACTATCACCATCAATTAAAAAAAAAAAAAGGCTAAGGCAGGAGGCTCAAAAGTTTGAGGCTGCCGGGCACTGGTGGCTCAAGCCTGTAATCCTAGCTAGTCCAGAGGCTGAGATCTGAGGATCTCGGTTCAAAGACAGCCCGGGCAGGAAAGACCGTGAGACTCCTATCTCCAATAAAACCACCACGAAACCGGAAGTGACGCTGTAGCTCAAGTGGTAGAGCGCTGGCCTTGAGCTGAAGAGCTGAGGGACAGCACTCAGGCCCAGAGTTCAAGCCCCACGACAGACAAAAAAAAAAGTTTGAGGCTAGCCTGGCATAAATGGGCAGACTCTGTGTCAAAAAAAAAAAAGGTGGGCACCTGTGGCCCACATCTCTAATCCTAACTATTCATAAGGCAGAAACCTGGAAGAGCCAGGTTTGAACCCAAGTTGGGCAGAAAAGTCTGAGACTATTTCTAATTAACCCGCAAAAAATTGGGCTGAAAGCACAGTGCAAGAAGTAGAGTACCAAATCCCTAGCACCACAAAAAATAATTCAAGGCCATTTACTCATTTAGGTAGTTCTTCATTCTATTCCTTTTTGACCGTTGTTAAGTGTAAATAGCCCTTGAGGTTAAAGAGCTACACAGACTATATTGCTGGCTAGGAATGTGGCTTAGTTCATGAAGCCCCTGGTTTGATTCCTCAGTACCACATGAACAAAAATAAAATAAAAAAATATTCTACTAAAAATAAAGACTATATTGGTGATTTCTTTCTAAAGAAAAAAACTAATATGATATAGAGTAACTTCATATATAAACAACATACCTTTCTTTTAAGATTCCTGAGAATCCTTGATGAGAACTTACAAACTTTGTGATGCCTACATCAAGTTCAGTGAGGCCATGTTTCATCATGTCTGCAAAAGTCTCTGGCTCCTCCTCCTCCTCTTCCCCATCCTCTGAAAGGCCATCTTCCTCTTCCTCTTCTTCCAAATGAGCATCAGAATTCTTTTTTCCTTTCTCCACACTTAAAGCTCCTAGTGGCCCAGGTATATTCTCACTGCTGGATTGACAGTCACTCTCCAGCCCATCTTGACTTTTGGTTAGATAGCAATCAGATGAGACCTTCTGTTTCTTTGTTTCCTCAACTGGGGCCTCACTGTCATTATCTTCAACAACAAGGGACCCACGTTTCAGGGACATGCCTGTCACCTCCATCTTTAAGGCTCCAAGAAAACATTTAAGACAATCTTTGAATAATGGGAAAAAAAGAATAGGAAGTAACAGTCACTTACAAATAATTTTGTTTCAGCATAGTTAATTCTGTTCAAAGTGTGGTCCCAAGAATCATTTATTAAATTACTTTAATCACTTTTTAGGGATAGAAACCTGGCATATGGGGCTGGGAAGATGGCTCAGTGGTAGAGTGCTTGCCTTGCATGCATGAGGCCCTGGGTTCAATTCCTCAGCACCACATCAGCAAAGAGAAAAAAGCTGGAAGTGGCGCTGGGAGCCGAGGGACAGTGCCCAGGCCCAGAGTTCAGGCCCCACGACCAGACCCCCCCCCCAAAAAAGAAAGAAAACTGGCATACTTCTACATGGATCCTGATAGTATGCATCAAGAGCTTTAAGAATATGTATGTACTCTGATCCAAATTACTTATTTTAGGGATTTGTCAAGAAAACCAAAAAAAATGCTTCAGGTTTAATCTATATGATATATTAGTGCTTTTCTTTTTTGGCACTCAGGAAATCTAGAGCTTTGTGCACCCTAGGCAAACACTCTTACCATACAGCTATATCCCAGACCCTTTCAAAGCTTTGATTTTAGGAATTAACAGGGAAGCCTGAGTATAAACTGCACAATATGTAGATATAATTTACTGGAAACTGAGAAAGGCCATTACTTCCAGGGAAGGTCTAGGTGACTAAGCACAGCAATGGGAGACTTGTCATTTGGTGAGTATCAGTCATACCACTGTATTTCATATATGTGTATCTTTTCAAAAAACTGATGAATATGGTAGTACATAAATGCACATTTGGTGACATGAAAGCATACTCATGCCACAATTTTAAAAACCAGTGGCTCATACCTATAATTCTAGCAACTCAAAGGCTGAGATCTTGAAGAGGTAGGTTCAATGCCAGCCTGGGCAGAAAAATCCTCAAGGCCCCCATCTCCAATTAACCAGCAAAAATCTGGGATAGAAATGGTGGTAGACCATCTTTGTATGAATCCAGTGGTTGTGGGGTATGGTTTTTATTTTGTTGTTTGGTTTTTTTTTTTTCCCCCTTCCTGCTCCATTTTCAAACGGTTTGTAGCTGATGTTCACTAAGAGACTAAGTACTTGGAACTGTCCCACTGATGGAAGGAACTCCTATCTAAGAAAGTGCATTTCTTCACAGAGCTGTGTCATACCATCCTTTGGCCCTCTGCTGAAAAAGTAGAATCAAGTCTCAATAATGCCTTTTTAATTGTATCCTCTAGTATTATAGACGTAGGACAGTACTGTATCATCCCTCTGTGAATATAAATACCTTGTACCTGCTTTATGATACGTAGTAGTGACTGTGCTTTATCAGAGCTGTTTTTAATTATGTTACTCAAGAATGTTTTCTTTCCAGATGATGATTGAGAAGTTAATAAAAAAAAAAATGGTGCCAGGTACCACAACAATAACAAAACTTCGCATTTTTCTGGGGTTTTGTTTTTTATCTTTTTTTTTTCCTCAATGGATGTGCTGGATGCCTAATTTTGTTCAGATGACTGCAGAACCTGGAAAAGCTGTTGCTGCTATTGATGCATAACATACTGCTATTATTGGTCTTTTTATATAAATATATATATACATATATATAATTTGAATTTTTGGAAACTTTAGCTGTGCTGTCAACTTTGGAAAAAGTATCCCAGTTTACCGTGTTGAGTTGGCATTGTACAGAAATTAATAGCCATATTGGTCTAGAAATGTTAAATTTAATTTTTTTCCATTTGTACAGGGGTAAACGCACTGTATTAAATATGTAAGGTCTTATCTATGTGGGTTTGATTACAGAAACTAATAAAGTATTCTCTAAATTAAAAAAAAAATGGTGGTAGAAAACTAGTAGTGAGCAAGTAAGATGAGCAAGTACGGTACTCAAGAGTTCAAGCCCCAGTACTGAAAACAAAACAAAAGACAAGGACAATGAAAAATTATTGTATAATAGGTATAAAAAGGGTTAGTTTTATAATGAAAAGTTCTAGATATTGATTGGAAAATAATGTGAATACTATTACTGAGCTGTATACTTGAAATAATAAAGGCAGTAAGGCAGTAAAATGTGTTTTTTAGATACACATATAATTAGTGTGTATGTATGGGGGAGGGGAGAGGAGGCAGGGTCTCACTACATATCTCAGGCTGGCCTCAAACCCAAGGTCCTCCTGACTCAGTCTCCTAATAGTTAGGATTATAGGTATGTACCACTATGAACACTAAAAAAGAAACATCAAAAATTGAGTTAAGCCTGGCACTGGTGGTCTGAGGATTGTGGTTTGAAGTCAGCCTGGGCAGAAAAGTCTGTAAGATTCTTATCTCCAATTAACCACCAGAAAACTGAAGTGGTGTTCTGACTCTAAGTGGTAGAGTGCTAGCTTTGAGCAAAAAGTTCAGAGACAGCTCCTAAGCCCTGAGTTGGCCAACAATTAAAAAAAAAACAAAAAACAAAGAAAAGTCGATGTTAACCACCCTTGCTTCAAAATAGTAAGCATATGTCCAACAAGCCGTATTTTCTTAGTACAGAGTAACTCAAAAAAAGAAGAAAACACATGGCAATCTAAATAAATGTATCCAAGTTGATACTAGTGATTCATGCCTATAATCCTAGCTTCAGGAGGCTAAGATCTGGAGGACTGTGGGTTGGGAGCCAGCCTAGGTAGAAAGTGATGGACTAGAGATGTAGCATATACACACACCCTTATTTGTCTTGAAAGGGAATGCTGGTACATGAAATTCTGATACTATTTTATTCCTACTTTCTAGCAACAAACCTGCTGACACAGAGATTGTCTACATTTGTTATTTCTGGTTTTGCTTTTTTTTTTTTTTTTGGAAACAAGGACTCATATATAGCCCAAGCTGGCCTTGAACTCAGAATCATTCTACTTCAGCCCCCTCAGCACTGGAATTCCAGGCCTGAAACCACACCCAGGCCTGAAAACAGTTATTTTATCACAAAAAATAAAAATTAGTTGGGTATGGGGGTACATGTCAATAATCTCAGCAGTCAGGAGGCTAGGAAGGAAGTTGTCTAGGTCAAATCAGGGTACATAGTGAGGTGAAGGCCATATGGATTACACAGCAATACCTTAAAAATAAATAACAATTCAGGAGTCTGATATCTGAAGATTGTAGTTTGAAGCAAAAATCTGTGTGATTCTTACCTCCAATAAACTATCAAAAAAGGCAGAAGTGGTGTGGCTCAAGTGGTAGAGCACTAGCAATGAGCACAAAAGTCCAGGGATAGTATCTGGGCCAAGTTCAAGCCCCAGGACCAGCAATAATAATTATTACTATAATTATAAATTGATAAAAATTAAAAAACCCAGCCAGGCACTGGTGGCTCACAACTGTAACCCTAACTACTCAGGAGGCTGAGACCTGAGGATCATGGTTCAAAGCCAGATCATGGCTCAGACTTTCCTGGGCAGAAAAGTCTGTGAGACCTCATCTCCAATTAACTACCAGAAAACCGAAGTGGCTCAAAGTGGTAGAGCATTAGCCTTCAGCAAGAAGTTCAGGGACAGCACCCAGGCCCTGAATTCAAAGCCCCATGACTCACAATAATAACAATAATAATAATAATTTAAGACCTAACAGATTAACATTTAATTGGCTCATTTTACAATGTATTGAACAAAGTACAACAGACCAAGGCTTACAGAGATTGTGGTCTTACAAAACTGACATCTGAGGCTGGGATGTAGCTCAGTGGCAAAGCGCTTGCCTAGCAAGTGCAACGTCCTGGGTTCGATCCCCAGTACCAAAAAAGAAAAGACAAAAAAAATACAGTTAAAAAAAAAAACCCAAACAAAACTGACATCTGAATAGAGCGAAGTCAGAGTTTCAGAAAAACCTGAGACTAGAAATGAATACATAAGCCACGTTTTGAAGACTGAGGGGAAGGGTGGAAAAGGAAATGTAGAGGGTGTGGGATAGACATTCCAACCCATGAAAAAGTAGGGAAGGGGCTGGGAAGGTGGCTCAGTGGTAGAGCGCTTGCCTTGCATGCATGAAGCCCTGGGTTCGATTCCTCAGCACCACATAAGCAAAAAGAAAAAAGCTGGAAGTGGCGCTGTGGCTCAAGTGGTAGAGCGTTAGCCTTGAGCTGAAGAGCTGAGGGACAGTGCCCAGGCCCAGAGTTCAGGCCCCATGACCGCACCCCCCCCCAAAAAAAATTAGTATAACTTGATAAAAAGGCTTACGCAAAGGATAGAGAAGGAACATTCAAATACACTAAGAAAATGGTAAGGAGGGGGGAGGATTGGGTGAGGGGGGTAGGGGGAGGCTGGGAAGGGATGTGAAGGGTAAACAAAGGAAGAGGCTACAATGCTTGATAAGAAATGTACTCATTATCTTGCCCATGTAATTGTAACCCCTCTGTACAGTATGTTCACAATAAAAAAAAAAAGAAAGAAAGAAAAAAGAAAATGGTAAGGATAGAACAGGACTGGGTGACAAAAGTAGAGAAAAGACACATCCTAGGAGGACTCAGGTTTTCTTCCTTTGGGGACCCAAGAGGACAGTGTAGCTCTTGCTGATACAAGAACCCCAAAAAAGGAGCAGGTGGTAGATGAGCCCACCTCTAGTCCAATGGTGGTGTACATTCTTGACAGACACCTAAGTACAGATGTCCTATGGACAGTCCTTGTATATTACACATACCTTTACAAAAACCCAAAATGGTTCTCCAACAACAATCCAAGGTATCTAACTGCTATCACCGCATGATACACTTCCAGAGGCCAAAAGTAAACAAGTATAGCCAGCCTGGCTCAGGAAATTTACAATCAGAAAATTCATCCTCCATTCTCTCCAACCCTCTTCTCCCATACAGAAAACATCTGGCTTCCACCTTACAAACTCAGAACCAAATCTGGGTTTTCCCTATAACTCAGTGAGACATATACCCTCATGAAGCTTCTGCTTCTTTCTCTGTAAAGTTGAATTATGATATGAGCACCAGTGGCTTGTGCCTATAAAATCCTAGCTACTCAGGAATCTGAAGATGAAACCTAGGGGACCTCAGCCAGAAAAGTCCAAAGGACTCATATCTCCAATTAACCAGCAAAATATTGGACTGGAGGTACGGTCCAAGTGGTACAGATCCAGAGGCAAAAGTAACTCTGAGGTCCTGAGTTCAAGACTTGATACTGGCGCGTGCGCGCACGCGCGCACACACACACACACACACACACACACACACAAAAGGCTAGAAACCTGTAATTTTTTGCTACACAAAGCTAGCTTGGACATTAAGGTCCATGAGACTCTTATCTCCAATTAATCACCTAAAAGCCAAAAGTAAAGCTATGCCTCAAGTGGTAGCAAACCAGCCTTGAGTGAAAAAGGTAAAGTGCAGATCCCTGGTTCTTGACTTCAAGCCCCAGTACTAGAGCAAAAAACAAAAGCTGGGCATAGTGGTGATGGTAGAGCGCCTGTCATCCCAGCTAGGAAGATTATGGCCTGAGCCTGGCCCTACCTGGAACATAAGTCCCAGTGCTCAAGTAGTAGAGCACTTCCAAGTACAAGGCGCCAAGTTAAAACCCCATTTCTATGTTAAAAAAAATACCCAGTCAAATATTAGACAAGGTCTTTTGATATATATATATATATATACACACACACACACACACATATATATTCACATGTATATACACATGTGTATATATATATATACATACATATATATATATATATATATATACAGAGAGAGAGAGAGAGAGTGTGTGTGTGTGTGTCTGGGCTGGCCTGCAACTAAGGAAACTCCTTCCTCATCCTCGGACCCCTAAGTGCTCCTAGTACACCAAACTTCTATACTACAACAGAAATAAAGTTGAGCACTTTTTAAATTTTATTTTATTTTATTCTTTTTGTCAGTCGTGGGGCTTGAACTCTGGGCTTGGGCACTGTCCCTCAGCTCTTCAGCTCAAGGCGAGCGCTCTACCACTTGAGCTACAGCGCCACTTCCAGTTTTCTGGTGGTTTATTGGAGATAGGAGTCTCACGGTCTTTCCTGCCGGGGCTGGCTTTGAACCGCGATTCTCAGATCTCAGCCTCCTAAGTAGCTAGGATTACAGGCGTGAGCCACCAGCGCCCGGCTGAGCACTTTTTAAATTTTAATATAACACTGACAACAGTATTTTAAAATTTTTCCTCTGGAATGAACATCTGAAAAAGAGCTAGATTAAGGTTGATCCTATTTCAACCTTCCACAACTTCCATTTTTAAGTACATCTATCCTCCAATCACTATATCCCAATATGCAAAACCAAATCATGAGCTTACTGAGTCGTTTATTCTACTAATATTGAATATATGTCTTACCCTACTGTAGGCATTGGAAAAAAAATGGAAAAACTCCCTGCCCTTGGAAAACATATTCTATTTGAGGATATATTCAGTTAATAAAATAAGAATCTCAGAACATCAAGCCTCAAAGAAAAAGCAGAGCCAACAGGGCTGAGATTGATGGGGTGGTTTGGGGGGAAAGCCTCTCCAAAGAGGTGACTTCTGAGTAAAAATTTGGAGAGGAATAAGTATCTGTGAGGAGAGCATCTGGCATCAGGAAAGGTCTGTATATTAGATCTTATATATATATTAGACCTTAGGTATGGGTGAGATCAGCTGGACTATTCTTTCTTTCTTTGGGTGCAAAAGTGTACTTTTCATTAGTGCTCAAATTGTCCAACCTTTAACAAACGATTTAAGTTCAAGTTTATAGTTAGCTGTGTTCCTCATGATTGAACAACACAGCCTTTCAATTGTTTTTTCTTCTTTTGCAGTACTGAGATCTGAACTAGAAACAGAGTGATTTCGACAGATCGCACAATAATCGAGGCATCTCCCTGTTAATGGGGCATACTATTTCACGGGGTGGGGGGTGGAGGGGAAGGGCAGAAGGAAACACCCCCCAAGGCCAACCCGCTGGCTTCTAAGCCAGGGAATACAACCAGTCAGGAGTCCTAGAGGCCCGGCAGGCACGTAGTAGACTCGCAGCCAGTGCAGAAGTGTGACCAGCAGGACGAAGCACGTGGGCCGGACCTGTAGCAGACCGGCTGGGGGAGTGTGGGGATGAGCAGGGCTCCGGAAAGGCCGCTCTTCAGAGAGGGAGCAGAGCTCAAGAGAGCGTCCGGGGCAGAGCAAAGAGAAGGAAGGGGCGGGGGTCCGTGCGCGAGCTGACAGCGCCCGGGAGGGACGACAGCGCGAGCGCTGCGCCCCCTAACGACCTCGGGGAGAGGGGAGCCGGAAGCGGGAGCGGCGCCCGCGGGCCGAGGCGCAGGACCTGCGGGCACGGCCGTAATGGAGGCGCCCGGGGCAGAGAGCTGGGCTAGGCGCCGTCCCGAGGCCCGCCCAGATGGGATGCGAGGGCCGGCCGCGGGCTAGCGGCGGGGCCCGAGCGGGGAGGCCGTGCACTTACCCGGAGCCTGGGAGCACGGGCGCGGCGCGGGCAGAGCGGCGAGGAGGCCCGAGCTCGGCTTGCGGTGCTGGACGAACACTCGGAGGAGGAAGCAACGAGTGCCGGCCTGCATAGGCGGCGCGGGTCGGGAGGGCCGGAGGCGCACGAGAAGATTCGCCCCGCCGCCGGGCTCGCACACGTGCAGCGCAGCGACGCGCGGCCGCTCCTTAGGCCACGCCCCCGGGGCGGAGCCTGCTCGGTGCCGCCGTGGGTCACACCCCCGGGGCAGAGCCTGCTCCTTGCCACTAGGCCCCGCCCACCAGGAACTGGCTGGAAGAGCCAGGAGGAGGGAGGAGGGAGGAGGCAGGAGGCGGGGAGGGGCGGCGCCAGGTACCCGGGCGCGAGCCTCCCGCAGAGTTACTGGTTGGTCTCACTTGGGCTTCGGCGGGGGTGTAAAAAGTGACTTTGCAGTGCATCGAAGAGTTCTGTAGATCTTTAGGACTTCGAAAACAGCGACTCTCTTATTCGTTGTGTTTGAATAAGCTTCTTCCGCCTACTTGTGGCCCTTCACTGTGATTATGGACGCACACTAACTGCACGGGTTGATGGCTTTTACTGTGACAGTTCCAGCCCTGCGTGTATTAACGTGGTTTTGCTCTTGTACACGCGTTGCGGCTCTTTCTGGTTGCGCTTCATCTCACAGTTAATAATACTGAAAAGGGGTTCTACGGCAGCCGATCCAAAAGCACCATTTCCTGAAGCCTTCTTGCTTGACAGCTCGCCAATAGAATTTGCTTCAAGAACCCTCATCGTGGCTAGTTGATGCATCTGTACAAAACAAAATAAAATTCAGTTCCCTTATGCTCTTCCAGTAGCACACCAAATCCAAGCCCTTAATAGTTTTTTCAAGTTTCAATTCTAAGTGAAAACTATTTTTGTTTGACTTGTTTTTACTACCTAGGTGTAATGTGGAAATTAGGTCCGCAGACTGATTCTATGCTATCTTTCTCTTAAGATTATTCACCTCAGTAATCTATCTAGAGATTATTCCTGTCCTTTTTAAATTTTTATTCTTTTCAGGGTCTCATTGTGTTATTTATTCAGGCCGGCCTCAAACTCAGACTGTTTGTTCCTCAAAGTCTTGAATGCTGGGGTTACAATTATGTACCACCATCCTGGTTCCTTTTCTTAATCTTTAGCCCTAGGTGCTGGTGGCTCACACTTGTAATCTTAGCTACCCAGAAGCCTGAAATCTGAGACTTAAAGTTCGAAGCCAGTACAGGCCAAAAACAAAAAAGTCCAGGAGACTATCCAATTATCCAGCAAAAATGATGCACTAGAGGTAGCCAGCTGTGAGTGCCAGCTGATAGAGTGCCAGCTGTGACTGAAAAAGCTGAGCAAGAGTATCAGGTCCTGAGTTCAAGTTCTGCTACCAGCACAAAAACAAAAGTCCATGTACTTGGGCAATGGTTAGTACATAGGTCGACATTCCAATGAATGTAAAAGCAAATATTTTAATCAAAACTATACATGAATAATCCAATCCCAAACTTTTATTTTTTAGTGGAATAGAATTTGAATTCAGGGCCTATAGCAAGCACTCTACCACTGGAGTCATGCCTCTATTCTTTTTGACTTTGTTATTTTTCTAATACTGTCTCCCTTTGTGCCCAGGCTGGCCTGAACTGTAATGTTTTTTACATCTCCTGAATAGCTGGGATTACAGGCCAGCCTAGAGTCTTACTTTTACTGTACATTAAAAAGTATCTTCTGCAGGGTGCCAGTTGTTCACACCTGTAATCCTAGCTATTTGAGAAGCTGCCTGGATAGGTAAATTCTCAAAAAAATACCAAAACAACACCAACAACAAAAACCTTCACAATCAATAGCTGGGTATAGTAGAGTATACCTGTCACCCTAAATTACATGGGAAGGTAGACTTGGAGAATAGAGATTCCAGGCCATTCACAGAAGAAAAGTCATTAAGAGTCCATCTTTCCCAGGGCTGGGAAGTTGGCTCAGTGGTAAAGCGCTTGCCTTGCATGCCTGAGGCCCTGGGTTCGATTCCTCAGCACCACATAAGCAAAAAGAAAAAAGCCGGAAGTGGTGCTGTGGCTCAAGTGGCACTAGCCTTGAGCTGAAGAGCTGAGGGACAGCGCTCAGGCCCAGAGTTCAGGCCCCACGACCGGACCCCCCCAAAAAAATATATATATATTGGGACTAGGAAGGTGGCTCAGTGGTAGAGCGCTTGCCCTGCATGCATGAGGCCCTGGGTTCGATTCCTCAGCACCACATAAGCAAAAAAAAAAAAAAAGAATCCATCTTTCCCTAAGTGTTAGGTGTTGCATATATACCTGTCATACCAGCTAGCACAGAAAGTCTAAGGTGTTCACTTAAGAGGGCATTGAGACTATATTGCAGCACAAACAGACAAAAAGCACACACACAAAAAAGGGCTAGGGCATTGCTTAGTACAAGGTTTTGAGTTCAAACTCCTGAAAAAACAAAAACATGACAAAAAAAAAAAACACTTTCAGATCGTGGCCAAACTCCTTGTACATGTAAAGACCTTTTATGTTTTCTTTTCTTTTTCACTATTAGCTGGCTCACAGTCAAAACCTATCCTTGTTACTTTTTACCTAAACTACCTTAGCTGTAGTCCCAGTGAAACATGTACTTTGAGTTTGTTTTCCAGAATGTACAACTGCTTATTGGTTATTGCTTATGGTTAAAAATAATGCAAGAAAATTCAAATCCCTTTCTCCACTGTAACTCTAATAAATATTTAACAATTGAATGTTCTCAACTTTCAAATTCTCTCTACTTCTCCATGTCCATACAACTCTGAATGCACCCAATCTCACCAAATTTTCTCTACTTGGGTATACAGAATATTTTTAACCCCACAACAGCATTATGGATTGCTGTGTCTGTCATACATGATTTCTTATAATTGTCTGGTATTCTGTACATTTTAGAAGATTTTTTTCCTTCTCTGAAGAGGGAATTATTTGTTTTCTGAGCGTTCTTGGTCACTCAATACAAATATTTGTCATCAAACCTATGTAATCAATTCTAAAGTATTTATTTCCATATCCAGTTCTTATGCCAAAAAATGAATGTTTTAGAGGTAAAAATTTAGATCAACCTCTTTATTTACTCATTCCTTCATTCAATTGTAGTTGAAGATTGAACCTAGGACTTTGCGTGCTAGGCTAGTGTTCTATCAGAGCTTCTCTTCATCCCTATTTAAAATTGTTTTATGCCAGTGTTAAAACTATTTGTGCATCAAATTATTCTGTAAAACTTTTGCAAGGTTTCCTGTGAGCCAGCTAGAGACAGGTACACATCCTTGGCCTCCCCTCACCTCTTTCCACTTTTGCAGTGGCAGTCATTTTACTTTTTCTAACTGATTTTGTTGGTGTTTACCACCATCACGCTATTAACACCCTTGCATGCTTATTTCTTGAGTTTTCACTTTCTGTATTATCTACTAACTTCACTTCTTGGAAAATGAAGATTTAATTCTTCCCATCTCCTTTCTATCTGCCCAATATAGTTATTGGATTTCTCTGGGTTTGTCTTTACTTCATTATAATTAGGTAGTTTAAGTCATTAGGAAATTATGACTTCTCTTTTTGTGTACAGATTTTTGCTTTTCCTGTAATTAATATTCGCTTGTTTTGGCTTATTTTTTCATCACTCAACCAAGCCTAATGATTGTTTAAACCTTTCTAGAGGTTTAGATGGATGAGGTGTTCTATCAGTTTCATCTTTCTGAAGGGGTTTCCTCTGGAGCTTTCTGGCTTGCATCAATCCATGCTTAGTGGATACTTGTTGAGAAGGCATCTTGCTTCAGTTTTCTCCTATATTTTATCTTCTGTTTCTGTGCAATAGTTTGAACGTCCCCATGAAAATTCATGTTGACATTTAATTCTCATTCTGAGATGTGACAAGGTGGGACCAGAGGGTAGGATGTAGCATAGTGTTAGAGTGCTTGCCAAGCATGCTTTAGGCCTAGAGTTGGATTTTCAGCATGCCTCACTCTGAAGAAAAGACAGAAACATTTAGAGTGTTTAAGAGGTGTTTGGGCTTTATAAACTCTACCCCTTTGAATGTATTGATCAATAATGCATTAACTGGCTAAATGGAGAGTGTTATGAAACCCATCTCTGTCCTGCCTCTTGGATTAACCCCTTCTTGCCCAATGTGAGACCTTGGAACTCAGTAGAGTCCCCATCAGCAAGACAGTCTTCACCAGCTTTTGTCTCTTGATGTGGAGGTCTTCTAGCTACCAAAATCATGAGCTGATTAAACCTTTATCATTTTTTACAAATTACCCAGTCAATGACATTCCAGTATAACAATAAAAATGAACACGACCTTCAATAGTAAACAAGAGAGGTAAATGAAAGGCCAATTTTTTCACACTTCTTTTGATGCATTTATTGACAAACTCATAAACAGGGCATTTATTCGCATAGTATAATGCCCAACAAACAAAATAAAAATATGGTGAAAGGCCAATTTTAAGGTGTTTGTGTGTGTGTGTGTGTTTGTGGATCCTGGGGCTTGAACTCTAGGCATGGGTGCTGTCCTTGAGTTCTTCAGCTCAAGGTGAGTGCTCTACCACTTGAGCCACAGCACCACTTCCGGTTTTCTCGTGGTTTGTTGGAGATGAGTCTCACAGATTTTTCTGCCTGGCCTGGCTTTGAACCACGATCTTCAGATCTCAGCCTCCTGAGTAGCTAGGATTACAAGAGTGAGTCACCCGGGCTGGGAAAGTGGCTCAGTGGTAGAGTGCTTGCCTTGCATGCCTGAAGCCCTAGGTTCAATTCCTCAGCACCACATAAGCAAAAAGAAAAAAGCCGGAAGTGGCGCTGTGGCTCAAGTGGTAGAGCGCTAGCCTTGAGCTGAAGAGCTGAGGGACAGCGCCAAGGCCCAGAGTTTAAGCCCCATGACTGGACCAAAAAAAAAAAAAAGAGTGAGTCACCAGCACCTGGCTAATTTTTGAGATATTGAATGTCTAAATGTGTCTTATTCTAACCCTACAGATTGATAATTTACTAATCAAGTACAAAATTCTGAGTTTAAATACATTTTTAGATATTTGATGGAATTACTCTTTTGTTTTCTGTCTTTGTTGCTGTTGAAAAATCCAAAATATTCTGATTTTTAATCTTTTTTCCCATATATATTTTTATTGTAAAAATAGTGTACAGAGGGGTTATAGTTACATGAGTAGGGTAATGAATACATTTCTTATCGAGCTTGTTACCTCCTTTGTGTGTGTGTGTGTGTGTGTGTGTGTGTGTGTGTGTGTGTGTGTGTGTATGTATGTATAGATATCACATTTTCTTGATGCATTCATCTACTAGAAGTGTCTGGTTTAGTTCCATATCTTAGCTATGGTGAATAATGCTACAATAAACATGGTTGTGCTAGTAGCTTTGGTATGACCTTGTTTGTAATCATTTGGGTAAATGCCCAAAAGTGGGAATGCTGGGTCATAGGGGAGCTCTATGTGGAGGTTTTTGAGGAACCTCCATACTTCTTTCCAAAGTGGTTGAACAAGTTTACATTCCCACCAACAATGCAGTAGGGTTCCCTTCTGGTCACATTCCCTCCAGCATCTGTTGTTACTACATTTCTTGATTATAACCATTCTAACTGGGGTGAGGTAGACTCTCAATGTTGTCTTGATTTGCATTTCTTTTATGGCTAAAGAAGATGAGCATATCTTCACTTGTCTAATGACTATTCTTATTTCCTCTTCAGAGAAGTCTTTCTTTAAGTCTTTAGCTCAGTTATTAATTGGGCAGTTGTTTCTTTGAGGATTTGTTGTTGGGTGATTTATTTTTTGAGTTCTAAGTATATTTTAGATATGAGACCCTTGTCCATTTTATGGCTAGTGAAGATCTTCTCCCAGTCCATGGGCTTTCTATTGATCTTTGCCATGCAGAAGCTCTGCAGTTTCATGCACTCCCATTTGTCCAACCTTTGATTTGTTGTGTTTCTGGGTCTCTATTAAGAAAATTTTGGCCTGTGCTAAGGAACCCCAGAGTTTCTCCTATTTCTTCCTGTAATGTTTTCAGGGTGTTTGCTTTTATTTTGAGGTCTTTGATCCATTTGGAGTTGATTCTGGTGAAGGAATAAATATGGATCTAGCTTTAGGGTTTTTTGTTTGTTTGTTTGTTCTTGCCAGTCCTGGAGCTTGAACTCAGAACTCAGGGCATGGGCACTGTCTCTGAGTTTCTTTTGCTCAAGGCTAGCACTCTACCACTTGAATCATATTACCACTCTGTCATTTTCTGTTTATGTGGTACTGAGGAATTGAACTCAGGGCTTCCTGCATTCAAGGCAATCATATTACCACTAAGCCACATTCCCAGACCTTTAATCCTTTTTAAAATGACTGTTTTTTCTCTTTAGAAGTGTTTATGTTGGCTAGACACTGGCGGCCTGTAATCCTATTCAGGAGGCTGAGCTCTGAGGATTGTGGTTTGAAACTAGCCGAGGCAGGAAAGTCCATAAGACTCTTATCTCTGGCTGGGAAGGTGGCTCAGTGGTAGAGCGCTTGCCTTGCATGCATGAGGCCCTGGGTTCGATTCCTCAGCACCACATAAGCAAAAAGAAAAAAGTTGGAAGTGGCGCTGTGGCTCAAGTGGTAGAGCACTAGTGTTGAGCTGAAGAGCTGAGGGACAGTGCCCAGGCCCAGAGTTCAGGCCCCACGACTGGACCCCCCCCCCCAAAAAAAGACTCTTATCTCCAGTTAACCACCAGAAAACCAGAAGTGCAGCTGTGGCTCAAAGTGTTAGAGTGCTAGCCTTGACCTGAAAAAGCTCAGGGACAGTTCAAGCCCACAATGGACAAATAGAAAAAAAAGTCTTTTGGGGGTGGGGGGGCCTGGGAAGGTCAGAAGTGGCGCCAGAAGTGGCGCTGTGAGAGCTGAGGGGCCACACCCAGGCCCAGAGTTCAGGCTCACAACTGGACCCCCCCCCCAAAAAAAGTCTTTTTGTACCCAGTGTACTGAAACTTCATACAGTAAATCTTGCAGTAGGTTTTGACCAATTGTGCTAAATTCTTAGTGGCACATTTCAATTTAGAAACTTATCACTTTCATTTTATGGGGAAAATTCTCTTGAATTATTTTGTTGATAGTACTTTCTTATCCAATTCCTGCTTATTTTCTTTATTTTGGAATTATAAATTTTCAAATTTTGGACCTATTGAAGTGATCTTCTAATTTATTATATTTTCTTTTCTATTTTTATTTATCAATTTGCTTCCACTCCCCTACCCTTTTTTTGAGGCATTTCTCAACATTTATCTTCCAGCTCTCGGACTTTTCATTTCTGCTGTCATATTTTTTTGTCTCTCTCCGGGTGCTCCTTTTAAAATAGTATCCTTTTTCTTACTATGTTTTGGCAATAGCAACATATCTCAGGATATCATTTTGTGTTCTGTGTGTGAGATAACACAGAGGCAGTACAGTGGACAAAAAGGGCATACATAAGCTTAAATTTTTTTTTCCCCTCACAGAATGGTTTCTGTCTCCTTGTTTTGTTTTGGTTTCTATTTGTATTGTCAACTCCTTGGGTCCTCTACCTGCCCCTTGTTGCTAAGTATTGGTTCCTCCTCCCTTGACAACCCCTGCAGTAGGAGCTCCCTGGGTAACATGCATTCTCCATGCTAAGTGCTCTTCTTCCATTTAGCTCCCATTGCAAGAATGCAATCAAATCTGGACCCTCCAGGCAATAAGCAGCAAGTCTTCTCTAGGAAATCTGATCAGCCTTATAGACCTAAACTGAGTTCAGTGGATCAGGCCTGTAATCTCAGCTACATGAAAGGTGTGAATAGGATGATCTTATTCCAAGGCAGCCTAGGCAAAAACTCAAAGACCCTATTAAAAAAAATAACTAAAAGCAAAAAAGGACTGGGGTGTGGCTCAGGTGGTAGAGCAAATGGCTCTAAGTTTAAACCCCAGTACTACCGACAAAACAAAACAAAAGCAACCCAAAGAAATAGGTAGATGCGGGCTGGGAAGGTGGCTCAGTGGTAGAGCGCCTGCCTTGCATGCATGAGGCCCTGGGTTCTATTCCTCAGCACCACAAAAGCAGAAAAAAAAGCCGGAAGTGGTGTTGTGGCTCAAGTGGTAGAGTGCTAGCCTTGAGCTGAAGACTTGAGGGACAGTGCCAGGGCCAAAGTTCAGGCCCACGACTGGACCCCCCCCCCGAAAAAAAAGAAATACGTAGATGCTGACATTCTTTGGAAATCTCCCATCTAAACTGAATCAAATAACCTTACCTTGAAGCTTCTACTCACTAAGCTTATTCACATTCACACTATCTGGATATTATCTACTATGTACATACATGTGTATGTATACCCACATATATTATGAAACAAATATAATCATATACAGATATAGATATATAAGATTAAGGTAGAATATAATGGCGTGGTCGAAGGAATATCTTCAAGTGCTATCATTAAGAGATCCAATGAGCAAGAGGAGCTTTATATAGAGGTCCAGCCACTCTCGCAGGCGCGGGTGAAGGTCGGTCTGAGCTGCTGTTCCTACCCCCTGCCAGCAGGGGCCGCCGCAGCGCAGGCCGGCGTCTCAGCGGGTCGGCCTCTCTGAGCCGAGAGAACGGAACCACCGAGACGACCAGAGGAAGTCGAGGTGGCGCTCGACCCCGCAGCCCTGCAGCCTGTGGCTGCCCGCGGCGGGTCAGGTCAGCCACGCTGGCTGCGCGGGGTGGGGCTGAGGACTCGCGCGGATGCACGATGCTCCAGGCGGGCGAGATTGGCGAGGCGCCCGCAGCCCTGGTGAGGCGGCCCTGGCGACCCGGGGGGACGGGTTACGGTGGCCTGGGAGGACGCGACCCGGGGAGGGAGGGCCAGCCGAGTGGCCCCGGGGAAGTGGCCTCGGTGGCCGGGCCAGGTCCCTCCCGACTCCCGGGAGAGGTGTCAGTGTTGGCGCGGAGCTGGCGAGCCTCCTTCGGACCCGCACCTGACAGCTCTGGCCCCGGGCACCGCGGACCTCCCCCCTCCCGCCGCGGCCGAGGTCCTCGTTCGGTCCAACCGCTCCCGCCGGCTTAATTTGTTTGCCGCGCCTCTTTTCCTTCCAGTGCTGCTCGGAAAGGGGAGACGACCGGAAGAACCTGGAGGAGAAAGGTAAGCCGGCTCCGATCCTCCCCCTCGCTCTGTCTGCCAGCCGGGCACCCTCCCGGGTCTGCCACAGAGATCTCTGCCTGTGCCATTTAGATGAAATGTCGATGTCTGTGTAGCAGGCTTACATAATAATAAATATTGGTTGTTACCATACGCGTGTCTTTACCTTTCTGAAATTGCAAAAGCATGCTTCCCCGCACCCGCACTGACGCTCCGCCCGTCAGACAGGACGGGGCCAGCGCTAGACCTGCCTGTCGCCTCAATGAAGCCCTGGGAATTGGGAGGAATTACCACTCTGTGAGGGATGATTGCCACTGCTTCCTTTCTTTCTTTCTTTTTCTTCTTCTTTTCTCGCCAGGCTCCTCACGGACTTTTGACATGAATTTGATTAATTTGTTTTAGGAGAGGAAGGGGAAAAGCAAGAAATAGATCTTCTATGGCTTGAGGATCAGTAGTGGTAAGAGAAAGGGTGCTCATATTAGTTATGTGGCCGTTGGGAGTAAGGCTTGCCCTTAATGTTACTTCAGAAACAAAGCTCCAATGTGTCCACAGCTCCCACATTCAGCTCCTTTTCTTGACACTTCCAGCTAAACCTCACCCTTCACCTTTACCCTATTTGGATGCCTTGAAAAGTCTGAGGCCTACTGATCTGTTAGTAATCTGAAGTAAAGTGATAAATGCAGACAGTCATATCAGGATTTTGTCCTTGTTCCCCAGTGGCTTAGTCAACTATTTTGCAATTAAGAGTGCTTCTTACAGAAAATGAAAAGGAGAGATATAATCTGCCAACTTACCAGTGTGTCATTTTGAAGAATGAAATTTGATTAAAAATGTAGAATGACGCGTTTGGTAATTGCATGTAAAGAGTGTAATTTTTTTTTCCTGCTACTGGGCTCCACTTCCAGTTTTTTGGTGGCTGATTGGAGATAAGTTTCAGATCTCACCCTCTTGCATAACTAGGATTATAGGTGTGAGCCACTGGTATCTAGCTAATTTTTTTCTTTTTAAAGGTAAGTAAGTAGAATGAGGCAGGAGGATTGAGTTTGAGACCAGCCTGGGTTACTTAGCAAGATATGAGAGAGAAAAGAGAGAGAGAGAGAGAGAGAATGAGAGAGAGAGAGAGAGTCAGAGTCCTAAACACAACAACCTCATATACTATTACATATTAATGAAGTTTCCAGGCAGATGAACTGATTCTGAGAGAGAGAGAGAGAGAGAGAGTCAGAGTCCTAAACACAACAACCTCATATACTATTACATATTAATGAAGTTTCCAGGCAGATGAACTGATCCTGTTCATAAGTGAAGGAGAATTAAGTCAAGAGTATCGGCCTGAGAGCCAGGAAACATGGATTTTGGTTCCAACCATAACCTTTGTGTAGGCAAGGGCAATTGTTATAATTTATCATTTGGAAGTTGAAGAATAGTCTTATGTGTTTTGCTTCTCTTACATACTAGTATGCTCCTGGTTTGCACAGCCTGTGAATAATCGTAATTCTTGTGAGTCAAATAAAACAAAGGAAAATTTGTTTTCTGAGGGAGAGAGGAAAGAACATACCTGGTATTAAACACACCAGACCATTATATAAAAATGGGACAATATCTGATATTTACATTTTGCAGTTAGGCATATATTGATTTATGTATTAATATTTTAATTGGAGGGAAACAGTTGTTTTGTAATGAAGCTGATTATGTCCTCATCTTTATTTTCTTAAAACTGCATTTTTGGTAAAGAGACAAGTTCTACAAGCGACGGCTCTAAAGAAAATGGTATTGCTCCTCATAGTCTCTGTTTTGTTCCCCACTTTATCCCTCATGTATGTACTTTTTTCTTTTTTTAAAAAGTAATTTTTTATTGAGATTAGGTGATTACATAAATTTCACATATTTCATAGTATTGTGGAATAGTAATACTTAGTTAAAGTTACAAACACATTTTAACCTTCACAAGGCAAATTGTCATTACATGGTCTATAACTTTCAAAAGCAGATAAACTGCCTCGTATATATTTCCTATTTCTTCTAACCTCATAGTATTTGGCATTTTTTAAATTTTAGGTGACATAGATGTTGCTTCATGTGTTGGAATTCAACAAGGCAGTGAAGGTACAGATGAAGATAATCTTTGTACTTATGTGTCTGCGTTCATAGAAAAGGAAGTTGGAAGTGACATTAAATCTTTAAAGAAACTTGATAAACTCATAGAACAAATGACAGAAAGTAAAATGCAGTTAGAAGAACAGGTAAGTATTAAAGCTCATTGAAATATTATCAACAGTATATTAAGATATGAGCAATTGGTATTATATGTAGAATTTTTTTTTTTTTTCCTTTGGGTCCAGTCGTGGGGCCTGAACTCTGGGCCTGGGTGCTGTCCCTCAGCTCTTCAGCTCAAGGCTAGCACTCTACCACTTGAGCCACAGCACTACTTCCGGCTTTTTTCTTACGTGGTGCTGAGGAATCGAACCCAGGGCCTTGAGCATGCAAGGCAAGTGCTCTACCACTGAGCTACCTTCCCAGCCCCTATATGTAGAATTTTAAAGACAGATAATGACAAATAGTTTGATCATTTAAAATGTAACAGTGCTATGTATTTTACAAATGTAAAAGATAAAGTTCCTAAAGGTTTGTTTTTTAAAAGTATAACAGCAGCATTTATATAGTTTCGATTTTTTTGTCGGTTGTGGGGCCTGAACTCTGAGCCTGGGCACCGTCCCTCAGCTATTCATCTCAAGGCTAGCGCTCTACCACTTGAGCCACAGTACCACTTCTGGCTTTTTCTGCTTAGGTGGTACTGAGGAATCAAACTGAGGGCTTCATGCATGCAAGGCAAGCACTCTACCACTGAGCCACCTTCCCAGCCGTATATAGTTTTTCATATAATAACTTCTAAAGTGCTTCTGTAAGTAAATAATTTTATGATATACAAAGCCACTGGCCACTATTAAACAATATAGTTCCAGCTTTTTATAAATAAACACAAGAAGGAAACACAAAAGGAATTATAACATTACATTGATTATTTCTGGGAGTTTGGTTGAAAGACAAGTTAACTCCTTGTATGTTTATGTATTTTGGTTTTTTTTTCTTTTTACAATGTGAAAATAAATCTTAGCCAGAAAGTAAATGGGTCTCAATAGTAGCACTAATCTATTGTCAAAGGTAAAAGGTTTATATTGTGTAAGTCTTAAATTAGGTTGAGCAAACTGGTATGTGGGCATGTCATCACCAGATTTCCTGTTGTCCTGTGTTCTCAGATCCCCACCCTTCACCTTGGCCTCATGTCTTGCTATCTTTCCACCTCCCCTACTGCTATGCTCGGTGTTTAGCCTGGCCCTGTCAGCCTTTTCCACTTCTGCAAAGCCTTGTGGAGAATATCACACAATCCAGTATGTGATCTGCCTTCAGCCTCACCTGGCAGCCTTTTGCTGCATCTCCTTCAGCTATCCTCCCAAATTCTCCCGAAAACACCTGACCTGTATATTCTGTCCTGTCCTTTCCCAGACACAAAATGTTGAGCCCATCTAGGATAAATCTATTGAAATTCTACCTGGTATTCCCAATCATCTGTCACCATTTTTAGCTCCTGACTTAATAGAGACTAAGGCAGCCCTTACCCCCAAGCCATTTCTGTGCTAGCTCAGTAAACTTGCTTCACTATTAGAATTTTATCCTTTGCTTTTGTAATAGTCCAGTTTCCTTAGTAGGAATTTGCTCTTTCCTTTGGCTGTCAGGATTCTTTTTTTTTTTTGGGTCCGGTCGTGGGGCCTGAACTCTGGGCCTGGGCACTGTCCTTCAGCTCTTGAGCTCAAGGCTAGCGCTCTACTACTTGAGCCACAGCACCACTTCCGGCTTTTTTTTTTCTTTTTGCTTATATGGTGCTGAGGAATCGAACCTAGGGCCTCAGGCATGCAAGGCAAGCGCTCTACCACTGAGCCACCTTCCCAGCCCTGTCAGGATTCTTATTAAAAAAAAAAAAAAAAAGATCTTGGCCAGGTGCCAGTGGCTCATGCCTCGAATCCTAGCTACTTAGACGCTGAGATCTGAGGATCACAGTTCAAAGCTAGCCTGGGCTAGCTTTTTTTTTTTTTTAATTGTGAAAATACCATACAGAGGAGTTACAATTACATGAGCAAGATAATGAGTACATTTCTTATCAAGCATTGTGGGCTAGCTTTATAACCACCAAAAAAGCTGGAAGTAGAATGTGGCCTAGCTGGTAGAGTGCTGATCTTGAGTAAAAAAAACTAAGGGACAGAGCCCTGAATTGAAGCCTTAAGTCCTGGGTATACTCACACACACACACAAATTGATCTTTGAGCTGGGCATAGTAAGTTCTAGGCAAGCCTGGGTACATAGTGAAACTTTGTCTCAAAAGTGCAAAAATAATGGAAGTAAAATTAAATATATTTTCAAAATGTTTTTGTTATCTGGTTCTAATTTCTAATTTGTCATTTACTCTTTTTTTCATGTGTGTGCATAAGTTTTGGGGCTTAAACTCAGTTTGGGCACTGTTCCTGAGCTTCCCTTAGCTTTTTCCATTCAAAACTGGACCTTTATCATTTGAACCATACCTCTAGTTCCAGTTTGCTGGTTAATTGAAGATAAGAATCCCTCCCTGTGTTGGTATGCTCAGGCTGGCTAGCCCCTGGAGTGGCTAGGGTTATAGGCATGAGCCACTGACTGTAGGCAGTAGGCACTTCTGTCTGTATATTCTATCTATCTATCTATCTATCTATCTATCTATCTATCTATCTATCTATCTATCTATCTATCTATCTATGCTTCTGTATATATAGCATTGTACATTTGGGTTTAAGTAGCACAGGATGAAGATATCAAACCTATTCCTTTGAAATGTGTATGTGGAAAGTAATGAACTAATAAAAAAGCTTATGGGAATATTTTCTAATTGCTGCTTTTATTTCTGGTATGTTTAGGTACTTACAATTTCATCAGAAATTCCTAAAAGAATTCAAAGTGCCTTAAAAAATGCAGAAGAATCAAAACAATTTCTTAATCAGTATCTGGAGCAAGAAACACATCTTTTCAGGTCTATTAATAGTCATTTGCTGACTGCACAGCCTTGGATGGATGATCTTGGGGTCATGATTAACCAGATTGAAGAGATTGAACGGCATCTTGCTTACCTTAAATGGATTTCACAAGTTGAAGAACTAAGGTAAAATGGGCCTCTTTATTCTCGTAATTATTATTTTCTTCTGCGGCTGTGTCTTAGGGAGTAGTGTGTATGTGTGCCATTATATAATTGAGTTAATTGAAGATTATAATAATTTTACCAGTTGTAATGAAAATAGCATTATGATAATGATTCTTTTCCCTATTGTGAATGAGTATAAACTTTTCAGGGAGCTTGATTTGCATTTAAAAGAAAGTAATCTAAGTAACTTAAAATTTTAAGCCTTAGCATTTTGTTCTATACTCAGGGTTAAAAACTATTATTTATAATACGGAATGAATAAAACAAACCTTCAGTTTGGTGTAGGTCTTCTATTGGCATAGGTATTTCTACTTCATGTCTAGAGATTGTCTCTTTTTTTTTTAGAGATTGTCCCTTAATGAAGTATATTGCTGTCTAGAGTTTGGTGTTTAGTGGAAATTATCAAATAAGGACTGCACAGTAGCTAGGTGCTGGTGGCACATATCTATAATCCTAGCTACCCAAGCAGTTGAGATCTGAGGATCAGAGTTTGAAGCCAGCAGATTGTGTGGTTTCAGCATCTAAACCCTGAGTTTAAGCCCCAGGACAGGCAAAAAAAAAAAAAAAAAAAAGAAGGTTAAGTCACTTTCTGGAATCATAAGTAACACCATAATTTTAGGTGCACTACTTTTATGTATATATATGTATATATGACTCTTGGATGAATATTCCCCTAATGGTTGCTATCAGCTCCATAGTAGGAGTTAAAACAAAGCATGAGTCAGTATAATTTAGCATGGTACAGCATGCAGGCTCTGAGTTTAAGCTCCAGGACTGGCATCAAAGAAAAAAAAAGTGTTATTTTCCTTAGGTTTTATGTATTTCTATTTCCAGCTTACTTTTGGGCTTCTGACATTTCTCCTCCAAGTTTCCTTTTAATGCTCCCCCTTTTTTTTTTTTTTTTTGATTGGTCATGGGGCTTGAACTCTGGGCCTGGGCACTGTCCCTCTGCTCTTCAACTCAAGGCTAGCACTCTATCACTTGAGCCGCAGCACCACTTCCTGTTTTCTGAGTGGTTTATTGGAGGTAAGAGTCTCACGGACTTGCCTGCTCAGACTGGCTTTGAACTGCTATGCTCAGATCTCAGCCTCCTGAGTACCTAGGATTGTAGGCATGAGTCACCCTCACCCGGCTCACTGTTAGCTTTTTTGTTCAAGGCTGTTGCTCTACTACTTGAACCACAGCTCCATTTCTGGCTTTTTGCTGGTTAACTGGAGGTGAAAGTCTTGTGGACTTTTCTGCCTGGGCTGGCTTTGAACCTTGATCCTTGGATCTCAGCTTGCTTGCTCTTTCCTTCCTTCCTTTCTTCCTTTCTTCTTTCCTTCCTTCTCTTTCTTTTCGTTCCTTCTTTCCTTTTTGTTTTTCTTTCCTTTTCTTTTTGTCAGTTGTGGACTTGAACTCAGGGCCTAGGCTTGTCCCTGAGCCCTTTTTGCTCAAGGCTAGTACTCTGCCACTTTGAGCCACAGCACCTCTTCTGCTTTCTGGTGCTTTATTGGAGATAAGAGTCTCACAGACTTTTCTGCCCTTGCTGGCTTTGAACTGTTATCCTCACATGTCAGCTTCCTGAGTAGCTAGGATTACAAGTGTGAGCCACCAGTGCCTGGCAAGGATCTCAGCTTTCTGAGTAGCTAAAATTACAGGTGTGAGCCACTGATGCATGGTAATAACTGTGCATTTATTCAACAGTAGTCTTCATTTTAATATAGTGCTTAACTTGGAATATATTCTTTGAAGTAGAACCATGTTCTGCTGTGAACAGTAGGTGAAACTGAAGATTATCCTGCTTGGTCATTCAACACTGTGATGTACTTATAAACTGATTTTCTAAATGGTAAATCCTTTGTACAAGTACTTAAAGATAATAAAAATATGAATATTTTAAAAAGAAAAAGAGCCTAGCACTGGTGGCTCATGCCTATAATCCTAGCTACTCAGGAGGCTGAGATCTGAGATTAAAGTTCAAAGCTAGACTGGGCAGGAAAGTCTGTGAGACTCTTATCTTCAATTTACCACGACAAAACTGAAAATGAAGCTGTGGTAGAGCACTAACTTTGAGCAAAGGAGCTCAGGAACAGTGCCCAGGCCTTGAGTTCAAACCCCATGAAAAAAAAGAAAAAAGGAAAAAAAAAACATAGAGGACTTCTCTAAATGAAAGCCTAGCAGAAGTGAGTTCTGTTCTGTTGGGAGGAGTAGAATGGGGTGGGTAGAGAGGAAGGCATCCTAAGTATGGACCACTGCTCTTAGAAAGATGCTAAGAATTAGAGGACTGCAGGCTCTGAAGTCTTTCACAAGGTGAAAGGAAAACAGTCCCTGAACTTAAAATTATTCTGAAGAAATTATCCTTAAGTTAGTTTGCTTTGTTTGCAGTGATAACATTCAGCAATATTTGATGACCAACAATGTGCCTGAGGCCGCTTCTACCCTGATGGCTATGACAGAACTTGACATCAAGCTTAAAGAATCATCCTGCACTCATCTTCTTGGGTTTGTGAGAGCCACAGTTAAGTTCTGGCACAAAATTCTAAAGGACAAACTTACAAGGTAGGGAGTTCACCCATGTTTCATGTTCATTGCTTTCATGCAGCTAGTTAGTGTTCATTTGATAACATAGTACTGAAACCTATGCCTTTCTTTCCTGTTGCAGTGATTTTGAGGAAGTTTTAGCACAGCTTCACTGGCCATTCACTGCACCCCCCCAATCACAAACTGTTGGCTTCAGTCGACTTGCTAGTGCCCCCGAGATGTACAGTAACCTGGAGACATTGTTTTGTCAGCTGCTGAAGCTACAAACCTCGTATCCTTTTTGGAAGGAAAACATAAAAATTTCTTCTTCCTATCCTAGATTTGTGGCTAGGGAATAAAAAGTTTTCAAAGAGGCCAAGTAGCCAAATGAGACTCTTGGGTTGGACTGTGTGTGTAAATGACCACAGAGTGGGGGAGTGTGCTCTTGTAAAGTGAATTGTGGGTAGGAGGGAGGGCCACCTGCACTGTTTTGAGACATGCAGCTAACCAAGTATGGCATCACGTACAGGTCAATAGAACATAAAATAACTGGGAGAAAGCCTTAGTAACAAAGTACTAATTTAACCAAATGATTTCTTGCATTTATTTATCTTCTGTTATTTTAGGAAAGAGATTAATAACATTTTTGTGCATTTTTTCTGGATTCATATTTAATGAAAAGATTACATGTTATATGTGTTATAATCCATACATAGTATGGATACTTATTAGAAAAAATTCTGTGTGTGTATGTATACATGTGTGTGTACATCTATCTATATGTACGTACACACACACACACACACACACACACACACACTTTTGATTCTTTTTCCTTGACTTGACTATGTCAGAGATGAATTACTTACTGAGCCAAAACAACTCCCAGAAAAATACTCTCTTCCCTTATCCCCTTCTATCATCCTACCCATCCAGATTATGCTGACTCCTCTTCAGAAGAGGTTCAGATATCACTTCAGAGGCAACCGGCAAACTAATGTTATAAGCAAGGTGTGTTTGCCAACTCTTACCCTTGGTTTTTATTTTTATTTCTTGACAGGGTCGAGGCTAGCCTTGAATTCATGATGTAGCCCAGGCTGGCCTTGAACTTGAATTTAGCTCAGAGCTAAATTTGTATTTTGCCACAGCCCTTTATAGATTTAACTGGGGATTTGTGTTTTTATATTGAAAGAATGCTTACCTTTGACACATCATCTAGCCAGTTTCTCAAGTTTATCTTTGATGTGCCCTTTGTGCTGTTAGACTGGTTTCCAATGTGTTTCATTTTACAAATTGCTCCTTCTGTCTTATAAATATATTGAAAAGAGAAGTTGAATTCCAAAATATAGAGTATTAGCTTCTGAATAAAGGTGCTAATGCTAAAATGATTTATAACTGGCAAGAGGGAATATGGGGATAAATTATATAAATAGGTATTTTTGTTATTGTTGTTTGGTGCTGTTTTTGGAGCTTAAATTCAGGGCCTGGGTGCTATCTCTTAGCTTTTTCACCCAAGTCACTCTACCATTTGAGCCACAGCTTCACTCTAGCTTTTTTTGTTTTTGGCAGTTGATTAGAAACTTACAGACTCTTCTGCCCAGGCTGGCTTTAAACTGTAGTCCTCAGATCTCAGCCTTCTGAGTAGCTAGGATTATAAGCGAGAGCCACCAGTGCCTTAATATGTGAACAGTCTTGAGGAAATTATCACCAACATTTAAAAAATATTTTTTATTTTTATTATAAAGGTGATGTACAAGCTGGGAGCCCATGCCTATAATCCTAGCTACTCAGGAGGCTGAGATCTGAGGACCACAGTTCAAAACCAGCCAGGGCAGCAATGTCTGTGAGACTTTTTTTTTTTTTTGGTCAGTTGTGGAGCCTGAACTGTGGGCCTGAGAACTGTCCCTCAGCTCTTCAGCTCAACGCTATCACTCTACCACTAGAGCCACAGCACCACATCTGACTTTTTCTGCTTTATGTGGTGCTGAGGAATGGAACCCAGGGCCTCATACATGCAAGGCAAGCACTCTACCACTGAGCTACCTTCCCATCCCCTGTGAGACTCTTATCTCCAATTAACCACCAGAAAACTGGAAGTGGAGCTGTGGCTCAGAGTGGTAGAGTGCTGGTCTTAAACAGAAAAACTCAGGGACAGCACCCAGGCTCTGAGTTCAAGCCCATGACCAACAAAATAAGTAAAAGTTAAAAAAAAAAAGGTGATATACAAAGGGGTTATAATTACATAAATCAGGTAGAGTATACTTCTTTTTTGGACAATGTCACCCCTTCCCTCCCTTCCTCCCAGTTTTTCCCTCCCATCTCCACCCATAATTTTATAGTTCATTTTCAAAATAGTGTTTAGTGAGTACCACTACTGCATTTGTTTACCCTTTGTCCCTCCATTTCTGTACCCTCCGTTACCCTCCCCAAGACAGATAAATGAACAAACAAGACAGAAAGAAAACTAAAACAGCAACAAAAAGTAAACCTCTTGTTTCCATTTCCTGGAGTTCATTTTGATATTTTATATGATCAGATGCACAAAGACATTGCACTTTTGTGTTCCTCTCATAAGAGTATCCTTTGGTCTCACTGTGAATGCCTAGAGAGTCCTGTATAATTTATCATGTCCCTGTGTATATTAGGTCTAGCTTCCTCATATGAGCGAAAACATGAACCATTTGTCTCTCTGAGCTTGGCTTACCTCACTTAACATGATTTGTTCTAGGTCTATCCATTTCCCTGAAAATGACATAATATTTTTTCTAATGGCTGTGTAAAATTCCATTGTGTCACCAACATTTTAAATGAGGGATCATACCAATATAGACTGGCATATTGTTGAGATTTTTAATTTGGCTAAAAATCAGGTCAAATCTTAGTCTTGGAAATGACAAGCAGGCAGCTACTACTTTGCCTATCCTTGAGTTTTTTTACAACTGATGTTATGCATGTAGTAGGGGTTCAGTAAATATTTTGGATTGCTAAGTGCCAAATCATATCAGGCATTATGGATTTATACAAATGAACTACAGGCATCATAGAATTTTAAAGAAATCAAAAGATAGGTAATTCTGTTTGCATGGAAAGAGCAGAGTGACAATAAATTTGTTTGCACTTTGGGATGTTCTATTTTGATGGGGGATTGGTGTATAGAAAAGTCAGTATGTGTAGGTGAGACGAAACAATAAGCCTAAAGTTGTACAGAGGCAATGAATATTTGACCGAAGGAAATTGTGAGTTATATTAACTCTTTTTGAAGTGTGGTCCCAATGGACCTCATACTGTTATCAAACCTAAATTGTGTCACCCCGAGGTTAAAGCCTCCTTTTATTTTTGTATTTCTAATATTTCACACACAATAGGATTTACCATTTAGTAAATAGATGCTAGATGTTGAACCCAAGCTTTGTGCATGGTAGATAAGTACTCTTAAGACTGAGTGATCTCCTTAGCACCAATATGGCATTTAAATTTTATGAATTTATTGACTAATCCACATTGGTGGAATTTGTTGGGGTACATTGGCAAACATATGATAATAAGTCTTCATGAGAATTTAGAGTAGAAATGGTGCTCTTACAGCCAACTTTTAGTGTTGTGTGTTTATAATTAAAGGCGTTTAACTATAACCTAATTAAAATAAGGAATTCAAACATTTTACTTTCTTCCTTAGCCTGAATGGTACTTGGCTCAGGTTCTTATGTGGATTGGAAACCATACTCACTTTCTGGATGAGAAGATTCAACCAATATTGGACAAAGTAGGCTCTGCAGTAAATGCAAGGGTAAGAGAGTCTTGTGTGTTTCAATTTTATAATTGTACATGTGCCTGAAAATTTCTTATGTTTATGTATTTTCTTCTAGCTTGAGTTTTCTCGAGGCCTTATGATGCTTGTTCTTGAGAAGTTAGCTTCTGATATCCCTTGTCTACTCTATGATGACAATCTCTTTTGTCATTTGGTGGATGAAGTGCTCTTATTTGAAAGGGAACTACACAGTGTTCATGGCTATCCTGGCACTTTTGCTAGTTGTATGCATATTTTATCAGAGGAAACCTGTTTTCAAAGATGGTTGACTGTGGAGAGAAAATGTAAGTATTCTTGTGGCCATATGGTAGAGATGTCCATATATATGGGTTTTTTAAAATTCTTTTCTGATCTCTTTTGATCAGTTCTGGGTAGGAATTGAAGTTTTATTGAGTCGCCTTCAAAGATAACTTTGTTTTCTTTTCTTTTCCTGACTTCAATTTTTCCTGGAATTACTTCCTATATATTTCTAGATTGGAATATTGAAGTTAAGAGATTTTACCATGTACAATTTTGTGCTCTTGGTATAATTTCTTGAGATGTATCTTGCTTATCAGTATAACTATTTTGAAGATTTGGGTGAGGGAGAATATAGTATCTTGTTAATTAACTTCCCAAATAGATTATTTTAAATACAGTACAACTAGTGAGAGATTGTGGGTTTGTTTTGTATAGAAAAGTCATCATTCAGCTGGGCACCAGTGACTTCACACCTGAAATCCTAGCTACTCAGGAGGCTGAGATCTGAGGATTATGGTTTAAAGCTAGCCTGGGCAGGAAAGTCTGTGAGACTTTCATCTCCAATAAACTCAGAAAAGGCCTTCAGCACAAAGAGGCTCAGGGACAGTGCCCAGGCCTGAGTTCAAGCCCCAGGACTGGGGTGGGGGGTGGGGGGTGGGGAGGCAGGGAGTCATCATTCCTAAAATAAATTATGGATTGGAATGACTATAATTACTCAAGTGACATAATCCTTTTTTTAATATATGTTTTATATATATGTATATGTTAGTTGCTCTTCAAAAAATGGACTCAATGCTTTCATCAGAAGCTGCCTGGGTATCACAATATAAGGATATCACTGATGTGGATGAAATGAAAGTTCCAGACTGTGCAGAAACTTTTATGACTCTACTCTTGGTTATAACTGGTGAGTATAGGGGGCTGGGAAGGTGGCTCAGTGGTAGAGCGCTTGCCTTGCATGCCTGAGGTCCTGGGTTCGATTCCTCAGCACCACATAAGCAAAAAGAAAAAAGCCGGAAGTGGCGCTGTGGCTCAAATGGTAGAGTGTTAGCCTTTAGCTGAAGAGCTGAGGGAAAGCGCCCAGGCCCAGAGTTCAGGCCCCACGACCAGAACCAGAAAAAAAAAAACTGGTGAGTATATATCTTTTAAGTATAAGTCTTTTTTTTGAACTCAATATTTCTAAAACAAAGACACTTTTAGAAATATTGAGTTCAAAAAAATAACATATGGTGGTTTTAATCTTTAGATTGAGCTTTTATTTTATTAATAATCTAGAACAATATAACTTTTTTAGTTTTTTTTTAAATGTGGGTACTGGGGTTTGAACTCAAGACCTTGTGCTCTTATTTGGCTTTTTTTCCTCAAAGCTTGCCCTCTACTATTTGAGCCACACCTCCATTTCTGGCTTTTTGCCAGTTACTTGGAGATAAGAGCCAGAGCTGGTTTCCAACCCTGATCTTCAGATCAGCCTCCTAAGTAACTAGGATTATAAGCATGAGCCACAAGTGCTCATCTAGGAATGTAATTTTATTACTGGAACTCTTTTTTTTTTGTCTGTCGTGGGGCTTGAACTCTGGGCCTGGACGCTGTTCCTCAGCTCTTCAGCTCAAGGCGAGCGCTCTACCACTTGAACTACAGCGCCACTTCCGATTTTCTGGTGGTTTATTGGTCTCACGGTCTCTCCTGCCCGGGCTGGCTTTGAACCGCGATCCTCAGATCTCAGCCTCCTGAGTAGCTAGGATTACAGGCGTGAGCCACCAGCACCCGGCTATTACTGGAACTCTTGCCATTCAGTTTAAGTGTCTTTAGTAAATGGTGATTAACTTAAATTTTGATTATTTTATATTTTATTTTTGAGAGATAGGGATTTTTCTATGTTTCCCAAACTGGCCTTGAACTCCTGGGCTCAAGTGATCCCCCTGTGTCAGCCTCTCAAGTTACTGGGACTATAGATACATGCCACCATGCTTAGCCCAACCTGAAATTTCAAATATTACTCTCTTGACCTTGATTTATCAAGGATCGTGGGAGAGAGTAAAGTAATAATTTTCAGAATCATTTCTGAAGACAATTCAAAATTCTGGATGCCTATCTAGACATTTCCTGTCTATAGTTCCACCTGTTTTAAGACACGGATGTAATTTGTACTGCAGATAGCAGATTTTTTCCTTAGTTTACCTTTAGAACAGCAAAAAATGATGTGGAGTGCTATTTCAAAAAACATTTTGTAATAGTCATTATTTTTTTTAATACTACCTATCATTTTACCTGTTAGGTTTAACATATATATGGGTGGATTTTTTTTTAATGGGTACTAAGAGTTGATCCCAATGCTTTGTGCATGCTAGGAGTAATAATAGGAATTTCTGTCATGCAAAGTTTTCTGGTTGGAGGAAGCCTGGCAGCTGCTGGCCCTCGTTTGTATCATCTGAACTGCCCTACTGCAGATCTGCAGGTTCTTATGGTGCCATGGGCCCACACTGACATCACCTTGGCCTTCTTGAGCCCAATGGTTTTAGACCTGTAGGACAACTTGGAAAAGGGTCATTCCAGCCCAATTGGCCAATAATTCTGTTTTCTTAATAGTAAGAAAAACTATGAAATAAAATACTAAAATAAAAAAAATTAAGGAAAAATTTTTTTGAGGTTTAAAGGACTTGTGCTTGCTAAGCAGGTTTTCTGCCACTTAAGCCAATATAATTAGTTCTTTTTTGTACTGGGTATAGTCAAAGTAGGGTTTTACTTTTATGCCTGGTCTGGTCTAGACTACAGTACTCTCATATTTATTTTTGGTGTGAGACTGGAACTCGAACTTGATACGTACTTGCCACTTTTGCTCATTGGCTACCACTCTACCAACTGAGTCACGCCTCCAACCCCTGTAATACTCTGTAATACTCTTGTGTTTCTGTTCATCATTTGGGTGACAGGCATATGCTCAGTGCCCAGCCATTGGTGAATTGGAGTCTTGTGAACTTCTATGAGACTCATCTCCAATAAACCACTAGAAAACCGGAAGTGGCGCTGTGGCTCAGGTGGTAGAGTGCTCACCTTGAGCTGAAATGCTGCTGAGGGACAGTGCCCAGGCCCAGAGTTCAGGCCCCATGACTGACAAAAAAGTGTCATGGACTTTCCTACCCAGGCTGGCTTTGAACCGCAATCCTCAGATAGCCTCCTGAATAGCTAGGATTACAGATGTGAGCCACCAGTGCCTGGCTCCATTACCCATTTTCTATTACATATTTTTCTCTGCAACATTTTTCCCCTGAGAAAAATATTTTAGATATTAATTAATTTAGATATTAGTTCTTATGTAACTTATTTAATCAGATTTTCTCTTTCCTTTTTAAAAAATGCCATTTGCGGGCTGGGAAGGTGGCTCAGTGGTAGAGCGCTTGCCTTGCATGCCTGAGGCCCTGGGTTCTTTTCCTCAGCACCACATAAGCAAAAAGAAAAAAGCCGGAAGTGGCACTGTGGCTCAAGTGGTAGAGTGCTAGCCTTGGGCTGAATTGCTGAGGGACAGCGCCCAGGCCCAGAGTTCAGGCCCTACAACCGGACCCCCCCCCCAAAAAAAATGCCATTTGCTTCCTAAAGAAAGTGAATCAGCTATACTGTTTATTGAATCTTAACAAATATGTACACCGCATATAATTAAATTTGGGTTTAGAAATAGACTCAAACTTAGTCAATTTTTTTTGATAAAGGTAGCAGAATAGTCAGGAAAAAATTTTAACTGTATCATGGATGCTATCCAAACCTTCATCTGTTTTATTAATTTTCTTCACAGACAGATATAAAAATTTACCCACAGCTTCCCGAAAGCTGCAGTTTCTAGAGTTACAGAAGGACTTAGTAGATGATTTTAGAATCCGATTGACACAGGTGATGAAAGAAGAGACTAGAGCTTCCCTGGGCTTTCGATACTGTGCAATTCTTAATGCTGTGAACTATATCTCAACAGTACTAGCAGACTGGGCTGACAATGTGGTGAGTTCATAAGCTTTTATATTAAGTAACATATTAGTTTTTTTAACTATTCTAGCCTTTTGAAATGTTGACTCTATAGCAAGTGATAGATGAGATATATATATATATATATTCATATATATTTTTTATATATGAATGACAATGATATCAAACTTAGAAGATGTGATTAAAGCATACGTTTTTCTAAATCAAATCTCAAATAGTTAATCTTGATATTTTAATGGGCTTAATCATCAGAGAAATAGGAACGTAGGTCAGTGCTTGCTTGCAGTGAAAAAGTTCCTGGGTTTAGTCACTAGTTCCACAAAAAAGAGGAAAGGGTAAAACCCTTTGTGAATTGTTGTTTATAGAATGAGCCTTTTTTGTCTTTGAACTATATACAGGAAGTATTAGTAATTGACATCACAGAGAAATAATCATTTAACAATGATATAAAAAAGTCAATAAGGGAGCTGGGAAGGTGGCTCAGTGGTAGAGTGCTTGCCTTGCATGCATGAGGCCCTGGGTTCGATTCCTCAGCACCACATAAGCAAAAAGAAAAAAGCTGGAAGTAGCACTGTGGCTCAAGTGGTAGAGCACTAGCCTTGAGCTGAAGAGCTGAGGGACAGCGCTCCAGTTTAGGCTGCACGACTGGACCCCCCCAAAAAATCAGTAAACTCCAGATCTTTTTTTGAGGTGGAGGCAGACTTGTTTACCTAACCTGGTTGACTGCAATAAATTAATTTTAAAAAATCTAAGACTTTGTGGAAAGTAAAATAACATTTTATACTTCTTGAAATGACTTCAAATAGGACATATTTTTGAGAATTATAAAGAAACATTCTTAACATTTCAATAATTTCATACAGTAAAACATTATTTGTGGGTAGGGATTATTTATGCCTGGCTCAGTGGTGAAACACTGAGCTAACAGCCCTGGTGCCTGCTTCTACCTTCATTTTCTTTTTTTTGCTGGCACTGGGGTTTGAACTCAGTCTTGCACATTCTACTTGGCTTTTTTGCTCACAGCTGTACTCTACTATTTGAGCCACATCTCTATTGCTGGGTATTTGTAGTCTCACAGATTTGTCTGCCTGGGCTGGCTATGAACCTCCCTCCCGTCTCAGATCTCAGCTTCCTGAGTAGCTAGTTTTAAAAGAACTTAAAAAAACAAAGCAAATGATAGGGTCTTGCCAATTGGCTATTAATGTAAAAGAATTGTAATCCAGGACAGGATTGCATACTTTTATACTAAAATATAAAAGGCTGGTGACTTGAGGTGAAATGGTATGCTTGCCTAGTAAGCATAAGGTCCTGAGTTCAAAACTTCATGCAGCAATAAATAAATTATATATATATATATATAATCATGTCCCTTTTTAACATGGATTAAAATTTTACTGCAGAGACAAACATTTTTTATTAAACCAAGGAAGATATGGCAATTAGAACTTAGTAATCAGTTTTCCAGTATGTACTTCAATCAAAAGTGAAGAAATCTATTTAGCCTTTATAGCCTCAACATAGATTAATTTCTTTAGATATTTTAGATACAGAGCACCTTCCAGACCTGCCTTCTTTGATAGAGTGCCCTCAACTTGGGAATCACTGTTGTATGATTATCTGTAAAGACACAAAAATCTGTTTGGACTGAGTGCTAATGGCTTACACCTGTAATCCTAGCTACTCAGGAGGCTGAGATCATGGTTCAAAGCCAGTCCAGGCAGGAAAGTCCATGAGACTCTTATCTTCTATTGACCACCAGAAAATAAGTGGCACTGTGGCTCAAAGTGGTAGAGCACTAGCCTTGAGCAAAAAGAACTCAGGGACAGTGTCCAGGCAGAATTCAAGCCCCAAGACCAACAACAACAGTAAAAATATGCTTGGGTTTATTATATGTTTTACCAGACAGATTTCATGACAAAAAATACTAACAGAGATGGTGAGAAGATGGCAAACTATACAGTGAAAATTACTTTGCTGAATAAAGAGGAAAATGACTATGACGATACAAGTGTAAATTATATAATTGCATCATGAATGAAAGTAGGAAAGTAAAACAATAAAACAACCAATTTTAATTAAAGATGTCAAATACCACATCTTAATGCAATAAAATAAAATTAAAAATAAGAAATGAAGTAAATACATCTAAGTATGGACATTTTAAAATAATCATGCCTGGAATAGGAAGGACATTTAGAAATAAGATTATATTTCAATTATGAATTAAGGCAAAAATTATATTCTTAACATTTATTATTTCTTACTTCTTCCCTCCTTTTCGTCTGTCTATCCGTCCCGCCTTCCTTCCTTCTCTTCCTCCCTCCCTCCTTCCTTCCCTTCCTCCCTTCCTCCTTCTCTCCCTCCCTCCCTCCCTCCTTCCTTCCTTCCTTCCTTCCTTCCTTCCTTCCTTCCTTCCTTCCTTCCCTTCCCTTCCCTTCCTTTACTTCCTTATTTTGTGCTGGTCCTGGGGCTTTAACTCAAGGCCTAGGCACACTGTCCCTGACCTTTTTTGCTCAAGGCTAGTACTCTACCACTTGAGCCACAGCTCTACTTCTAGCTTTTTATTTTGCTTTGGCAGTTAATTGGAAGTAAGAGTCTCACAGACTTTCTTTCCTGGGATGGCTTCAAACTGAGACCCTCAGATTTCAGCCTTCTGAGTAGCTAGGATTATAGGTATGAGCCACCAGTACCTGGTTTATTTTGTGACTACTAATGCATATACAGGAAAATATATTTCTCACTATACCTATTTTACTGTGAATGAAAAAAACAAGATAGTCCTCATCCCAAAAACAGGCAAATAAGCCAAAGTAAGCAGGAAATAGAAGTAAATATGCTAATAACAGACAAGATAAAATCTTGATAAAACACATAGTTTATTCATATCTGGATGTTCTGTCAGACTCAATAAGTACTTCCAGTGGTTTGTTATTGTTTATGGTCAGTTGTGGGGCTTAAACTCTGGGTCTAGGCACTGTCCCTGAGCTCTTTTGCCCAAGACTCTACCACTTTGAGCCACAACACCACTTCTGGTTTTCTAGTAGTTATTTGGAGATAAAAGTCTCATGGTCTTTCCTCCCTGGGGTGGCTTTGAACTGTGATCCTCAGATCTCAGCCTCTTGAGTAGCTAGGATTACAGGAATAAGCCACCAGCACCTGGTTTTAAGTGTTTTTTGATAAAGGTATCAGCTAAAATCTGTGTGTATATTATTCTACTGAGCAAGAAAAAAAAGAAAATTATGAATGAATTTATCATTATTAAGTCAATTAATCTGCACTTATTCATTTTGTACTTTGTATTGTGTTTCTAATTTGAGTATTTTATTCTTTCAGCTCCCACACTGCTCCGTTTACTGCTGAGCTTTTTCAATAGTATAAAATTGTCATTCTTGATTCTTATGCCAGTTGATCTAATAAAAGATTCATTCCCAGACAGATTTTAGCTTCAATGAAATTTGTGGAACATCATTAGCTAAGTTGCTTGGTGCTGTAATGTGTTAATAAAGATGAATAATCCATAATCTCTACCTGTACAAACCTTAATATCTAATGCTGTATTAACTGGGCTTTATGTCAACAGAAAACTATGACAATTTCAGAATTGACCTTTAAAAATGTCCTAGTACATGGTTTTCATGGTGCTAATTCTTTCTTAACATCAAAAGTCCTTGAATCATCTTCGCAATTCTTCAATTTGCAAATGCTTTAAATAAAAACTCATTAAAGGACTTGTATTACACAATTATATAACTAGAAAAAGAGTTCCCCTTTTATTCACTTGTCTACTGATAAGTTATCAGCAAACCTGAACTATCCAGTCATTCAGAATTAGAGTTCTTTAGTTGTAGGTGACAGAAACCCAATTTTGAGTAGATACTAAGTGAAGGAAGTCACCAAGAGCCAAACATTATATGATTTCATTGATTTGAAATGTCCAGGAGAGTCAAGTCTAGAGATGAAATAAGTAGATTGATGATTGCCTAGCGATGTGGAACTAGAGAGAGAACTGGGAGAGGAATAAAGGTGAGGAATTTGGGTGGCAAGAAGTAATGAAAATGTTCTAAACTTGTCATGGATACACAACTCTGAAAAATATTAAAACCCTGGAATGGAATACTTATTATTTAACTGTATGGTACATATATATTCTGTTTCAAGATGTCAAAGAAGTGTGTTTTTTGCTTTTAGTTCTTTCTGCAGCTTCAGCAGGCAGCATTGGAAGTTCTGGCAGAGAATAATACCCTCAGTAAACTACAATTGGGACAACTAGCCTCTATGGAGAGTTCTGTCTTTGATGACATGATTAACCTTTTAGAGCGTTTGAAGCATGATATGTTGACCCGTCAAGTCGACTATGTTTTTAGAGAAGTTAAAGATAGGGCAAAATTGTACAAGAAAGAAAGGTATGTCCTCTGTATAACTCACCTCTTAACACTAGTTTAGTGAAATTTGAAAGATAGCACATGCTGTCAAATTTCCAATGTGTCTACATAGTTCAGCGTCTGGCCTTTTGCTCTCCAAACTTTGTGCCCTTGCCTCCCACTCAGTGCTAGGGATTAAACCCAATGGATCTTCAGCTGTTTTTACATATCTAAATATGATTTTGGATTGACTAGCCCAACCAGTGACTGATTTTTCAAAGCAAGGGGCTCCTCCAGGAAGTATCCTGTGTATGTTTGTACTGTATGATTTATTCCACTATGGTAGTTCTTCTCTGAGGACACCTGTTATGTCTGTCAGAACCTGAACACTCGGACAGCAGGCAATGGCTATTTCTTCTGTCATGGTCCCTCTACAGAGTTCTATAATCAGTGGGGAGGTGTTTTTATTCCCTGTTGCTTTTGCTGAGAATTCAGAGCATAATATTAGCTTAAGTCTTCACTGTCAAAAATACATTTTAACTTTTATTTATTTTTTTAATTTTTATTTTTTGGGTCCGGTCGTAGAGCCTGAACTCTGGGCCTGGGCGCTGTCCCTCAGCTCTTCAGCTCAAGGCTAGCTCTCTACCACTTGAGCCACAGCGCTACTTCCGGCTTTTTTCTTTTTTCTTATGTGGTGCTGAGGAATCAAACCCAGGGCCTCATGCATGCAAGGCAAGCACTTACCACTGAGCCACCTTCCCAGACCACATTTTAACTTTTATAACAATAAATTTATATTTAGTTTAGGGATCTTTGAGCTATTTATCATCCTCATTGAGTAGAGTATGTATTTTAGAACTAAAATATAAGTTTACTTTCTGAGAGTTTTTAATATGGGATTTTTGTTGTGGTGTTCATGGGGCTTGAACTCAGAACCTGGGTGCTGTTCATGAGCTCTTTGCTCATGGCTAGCACTCTACCATTTTGAGCCACAGCACCACTTCTGGCTTTCCGGTAGTTAGTTGGAAATAAGAGTATCATGGATTTTCCTGCCCAGGCTGGCATGAAACCATGATCCTTAGATCTCAGCCTCCAGAATAGCTAGAATTACAGTCGTGAGCCACCAGCTCCTGGCCACACTTTTTTTTTTCTTATTCAAAATTCTCTAGCACAGAACAGTACGCTTGCCTAAATTTAAAGAATGTTTAAAGTGATACAGCCTCTACAGTAAACATGAATGATTTTGTCTTCACAGATGGCTGTCCTTGCCATCTCAGTCGGAACAGGCAGTGATGTCCCTCTCTAGTTCGGCCTGCCCATTCTTGCTCACTCTACGAGACCGTCTGCTTCAGCTGGAGCAGCAGCTTTGTTTCTCCTTATTTAAAACTTTCTGGCAAATGCTTGTGGAGAAGCTGGATGTGTACATCTATCAAGAAGTAAGGGATGGCAGACTGTATTTAGGGGGCATGGCAATAAAGGCAGCTATTATATGAATTATTCTTTTTTTTTCAGATAATCCTGGCTAATCACTTCAATGAAGGAGGAGCAGCCCAGTTGCAGTTTGATATGACTCGGAATCTCTTTCCTTTGTTTTCCCACTATTGCAAGAGACCAGAAAATTATTTTAAGCAGTAAGCTTTATATTTAACAATTAATATTGATTAGAGGAAGTTGACTCCTTTATAACAGCTCTATAGCTCCATTGATGTACAGTAGATGATTTGATTAAAATTTTAAAGTTCACTATGGGTCTATTACATACGCAGAGCACAGTGGGTAAACCAAAATAATATACATGACTCATCAGTGACCTTAGAAAGTTAATCAAACTTGTTATAAATTATCTAGTGGGCTTTATTTCCTGGCTTTTGGCTTAATGGTCCTGTTTGCTTATTATTAGGAGGATAAATAGAAAATAAAAATAAGTGCAGCTCTTTCATATTGGATAAATATAAGAGATCAGAGACGTATTTATTATCTAATAATAGGCCAGGGTACAAGGAAATTAACTTTCTTATTCATTGTAATTATAAATGTATACGAAAAGCCAAATGTTGGTGATTCATAGTCTTCTACCCAAGAAGCTGGAATTTGAGGATTGTGGTTTGAAGCTGACCTGGGCAGAAAGGTCTGTGAGACTTACCTCCAATTAACCAGCAAAAAGCCAGAAGTGGAGCTGTGGCTCAATCTGTAGAGTGCCAGCCATGAGATAAAACTTGGAGAACTCAAGACTCTTGAGTTCAAACCCCAGTACCAACACATACACACACAAACACAAATGTATACGAGAATCATTGCAAGGAATATTTTCAGGATTTGTTGATTTAATATGTACTTTCTGTACAGGATTGTGTTATTCTGAAATATTCCTTGAAAACTTCTGCTGCATAAGATTTGACTGTCCACTATTTTTGAGTTTTCCTTAGTATTGTATCTTTCTACTGTTTTTCATTTTATCCTTTCTCTCTTCCTATATCCTAATCAATCTAAAGTCATAGCTACTTATTTGAAGTCATAATATATTGAAACTAATGATTCTTTACTTATAGTTGGACTATAAACTTTATGCAGATGGGTGGTTCTCTATATATTTAAAAAGCCAAATAATAAATTCAGAAACAGTTTATACAGAGGTCATGTGTCTAGCAATGCAAGGAAGCTATTTAGTTTCTCAAAATGAAGTTGTTCATAATTCGGATATTATGGATAATAGGTAACTCTTTTCTCTTTTTCTTTTTCCCTAACAGTGTAAAAGAAGCCTGTATTGTTTTGAATTTAAACATTGGTTCTGCACTACTCCTGAAAGATGTACTGCAGTCAGCTTCGGGGCAGCCTCCTGCCACAGCAGCATTGAATGAAGTTGGAATTTACAAACTTGCTCAACAAGATGTTGAGATTCTACTTAACTTGAGGACACACTGGCCTAATACTGGAAAACAATGAGACCTTTAGAAAAGTATTTGATTGCTGTTGGTTTTTTTTTCTTCTTTGTTTTTCTTTTTCATTTTGCTGGTCTAGGGCTTAAATTCAAGGCCTGAGTTCTGTCCTTAAGCTTTTGTGCTCAAGGCTAGTGCTCTACCCCTTGGGCCACAGCTCCATTTCCTGCTTTTTTTGTAGTCAACTGGAGATGAGTCTCACAGACTTTCCTGCCCAGGCTGGCTTTGAACTGTAATCCTCCATCTCAGCCTCCTGAGTTGTTGGATTACAGGCATGAACCACCAGTACTTGGCAGTTGTTTTTCTTTTTTTTTTTGGTCCGGTCATGGGGCCTGAACTCTGGGCCTGGGCGCTGTCCCTCAGCTCTTCAGCTCAAGGCTATTGGCAGTTGTTTTTCTAATGAAGAGAAAGCCTGTTGTATTTCAAGTTGTATGATAACATTAAGAATTAATGAAACTGGGGGCTGGGAATATGGCTTAGTGGTAGAGTGCTTGCCTGGCATGCATGAAGCCCTAGGTTCGATTCCTCAGTACCACATAAACAGAAAAAGCTGGAAGTGGCTCAAGTGGTAGAGTGCTAGTCTTGAGTTCAAACCCCAGGGCTGGCAAAAAAAAAGAATGAAACTGAACAAATGGAAACTTTATGAGTCCTTCCTTATCTTGGGTACATCTTGTCTAAATGCCGACCATATTTTCTCTGTCCTCTTGTTCCTAAGAAAACCAAAACCAGAAAACTGAGAAGCCATGAAAACTCTGAGTGATTACATTTACAAATATAAGTGTTGAATATGTATGTAGAAGAAAACATAAAAACAAAGATAATACACTATAATCAAATTTCAGTTACCAGACAGCTAATAACATTTTTTAATCACTTAAGAATTGAAGCTATATAATTGAGGTGTCTTAGTCTGTTTGGGAATTCACAATATTGACATAAGAAAACACATTGTAAAATGGTGATGAAGCCAGGCGCAGGTGGCTCACGCCTGGAATCCTAGCTACTACTCAGCACGCTGAGATCTGAGAATCACAGTTCAAAGCCAGCCAGAGCAGGAAAGTCTGTCAGACTCTTAACCACCAGAAAACAGGAAGTGGTGCTGTGGCTCAAGTGGTAGAGCACTAGCCTTGAGCTGAAGAGCTCAGGGACAGCCTCCAGGCCCAGAGTTTAAGCCCCACCCCCCAAAAAAAAAATGGTGATGAAATTAGGATTGTTCCTTGTGTTGTTTTAATGTCCTTCCATTTAAAATGCCTCCTAGTTCCATTTTTATGTAACAATGGCAACCTATTTTGGGTCAGATCACTCTGTTTCAGTCTTTCTTGTGATAGGGAATACTGTAAACATTTTTGCTTAATATTTGTATCACTGATGATGAGACAAAAATCTTAATCTTCCTTTTTTCTTCTAACTTTTCCTTGGTCTTGGACTGTATTAATGGTTTCATGATTAATAAATCCTCAGATGGTGAAACTTTTTAAACAAATTGAGCCAAATTAGCTGGAGACTTTCTATAGCTATCAACTGTTATTCTATCTCAATGTTTTGTTTTGTTTTTGTTCTTGTACAACATTTAGTGCTTACAATGCTGTAATATCTCCAATCTAAAACTGTCAGGCTGGCACGTAAGCCATACTTGTTGATAAATATTTAGTTTGCAATAAATATTTTTGAGGAATACTTTGAGATAAACTCTATTACTCTATATTTTATACAAAGAGTTTCCAACTACAGTGTCTGGTACAGTAGGTTTTTTTCTCCTCATCCTTTGAAAATTGTTGAGGTGTTCCAATGAGAATGAAGCTGCCTCTGGAACTTCCTCTTATTCCAGCATTCCCTATTCCCCCTATTCCCAGAGGAGCCTTCCCTGGCCTCACTTTCTAGTTGTTTAAAGTTTAGAGCGAATGAAATGTTTTTGTCAAAAGACAGGAACCTAGCTGGGTGCTGGTAACTTACATTTGTAATCCTTGCTACCTTTTTTTTTTTTTTTGGTCGGTTGTGGGGCCTGAATTCTGGGCCTGGGCGCTGTTCCTCAGCTCTTCAGCTCAAGGTAGTGCTCTAACACTTGAGCTACAGCACCACTTCCAGCTTTTTCTGCTTATGTGGTACTGAGGGCCTCATGCATGCACGGCAAGCATTCTACCACTGAATCACCTTCCCAGCCCAATCCTAGCTATTTTAAAGACAGCCTGAGCAGGAAAGTCTGTGAGACTCTAATCTTCAATTAAGCACCAAAAAAAGCTGAAAATGGAGCTGTGACTCAAGTGGTAGAGCACTAGTCACAACAAAAGCTCAGGGACAGTGCCCAAACTCTTAAGTTTAAGTCCCAGTACCAGCACACATATAAAAAGACAGTAACCTGCTGGGCACTGGTGGCTCACGCCTGTAATCCTAGCTACTCAGGAGGCTGAGATCTGAGGATCTCGGTTCAAAGCCAGCCCGGGCAGGAAAGACCGTGAGACTCCTATCTCCAATGAACCACCAGAAAATCGGAAGTGGCACTGTAGCTCAAGTGGTAGAGCGCTCACCTTGAGCTGAAGAGCTGAGGGACAGCGCCCAGGCCCAGAGTTCAAGCCCCACGACCGACAAAAAAAAAAAAAAAGACAGTAACCTGTTTCTAGTGCTATTAGCATTCCTACAAAGTCATACTGTGTTGTTAAAATATTCATTAGATAGAACGTAAACTTACACTTCACTCTTGAATTTTTCCAAAGTTACCACACGGCCCTCAACCTCTAAAACATCTTCATAGCTCAGTCCCAAGGTTTTCAGGGCTGTATAAGTAAGAATGAGAAAAAAAATGAAAATTTACAAAGTGATTATTTTCTGCTAGGAAAGTCTTTTATGGAATGACCATAGGCTGTTGCTTTCATTTGTAGAAGACTGACCTTCTTTGTACTGTACAACAGATATGCTGCCTCTGCCTGCAGCATCCAGCATCTCAAACATGGCTGTGATGTTGGTGTTGTCCATGAAGTAAGGAAAAGCTATACCTGTCACTTTAGCAATTCTTATACGTTCCAACAAAGACATTAAAAATTCCCTTGGCTTTTCTGCAAAAGAAAAGTTCAAGTCTTTTTGAAATAATATGTCACAAGTGAGAGTAATTATTTAACAATTAACATCTATGTTCAAGGTACTACATACTAGGGATATGGATGCTGCTTTAAAATTTTTCTGTTGTAAGCATTTTTATGCTTTTTTTTTTGCTGGCTCTCACACAGGATCTGGGCACTCTCCCTGAGGTGTTTTTTTTTTTTTTGTTGTTGTTGGGTTTGTTTTGCTTAAGGCTAATGCTCTACTACTTGAGCCACAGCTCCACATCTAGCTTTTTTTTGGGGGGGGGTCCAGTTATGGGGCCTGAACTCTGGGCCTGGGCGCTGTCCCTCAGCTCTTCAGCTCAAGGCTAGCACTCTACCACTTAAGCCACAGCACCACTTCCGGCTTTTTTCTTTTTGCTTATATGGTGCTGAGGAATCGAACCCAGGGCCTTTACCAGCGCTCTACCACTGAGCCACCTTCCCAGCCCCCTAGCTTTTTGATAGCTAATTGGATTTAAGAGTCTCTTAGACTTTGCTGCCTGGGCTGTCTTTGAATTATCATCCTCACATCTCAGCCCAGGCCCTGAGATCAAGCCACAGGACCAGGACCAGTACAGAAATAACAAATAAATACATCATGTGTGGGTCTTGAAATGCTTATATCAACAGAAACTGGAGAGGAGTCTCACAGACTTTCTTGCCTGGGCTGTCTTTGAACCTCAGTCCTCAGATCCCAACCTCCTGAGAAGCTAGAATTACAGACATGACCTACTGGCTGACAGAAAAGATTTTTAAAACATGAAAGGAAAATCATATACATTACATAATCGTATACATTACATAAATACCAGCTGATAATGACCATCAGGTTTTTGTTTGGGTTTTTTTTTTGGGTGGCACTAAGGATTGAACCTAGTGCCTCACCCTTGCTAGGCATGTGGGCCCATGCCACAGTTGTTCCTCACTATAACCCAGTTCACTTATGGCTTCACTGTATCACAAGTTTTATATATATATATATATATATATATACACACACACACATATATATGTATGTATGTATTGCTGAGTTTTTACTATATCGTGGGATGTTGCAATATATAGGTATATATTTATGATTTATTTCTGCTTACATTTATTTGCTTAAAACAACAAAAATATAAAAATTTTAATTCAAAAAAAGAATATTAAATCGAAGTAAAATACAGTATATATTTCATCAGCAGATGAACAAACACTATACTGTACATACTAGAAAAGCAGTACTCCACTACCGCTGGCACAGGTTTGCCAGTGTGAGATTATACATGGCACGCTGTTGGCTGATGGAATGGAAGGCGACCGACTACAGCACTGTGTCCTGTTATCCTGGACACTGATGGCCTCAGTAAAGGTAGCACTGGGCTTTTTGCTCTCCTGCACTGTGCACATATATGTTCAGTATCTCTCCTTGTCCACTTCACATCAATGTCTGATCACTGTGCATAGTGTTGCTCTGCGGTGTTACGTTCTTGTGAAATTTTCATAGAAGTTTGAATTGATTTCAAGCCCTATGATGCCACCCAAACATTCTGTGCCTTCTAAGGCTTCTGGCAGTGAACCCAAGTGCCAGAGGAAAGATGCTTGCCAAAGAAAGGGTGACATGTTAAAGGAAAGCAAAAGCGATGGGGCTAGTAGGCCACCATTATGGGATCAATGATCCTATTGTTGGCTACGTAAAGAAAGACAAGAAGACTATTAGGTCTGTGGTAATGATGACTTTTAACAAGACTGCAAAGAGGGTGGTCACTGCCCGCAATAAGGACATTGTGAGCATGGAGCCTGCATTGATCCTGTGGATAAATGACTGCAGGAAGAAGAATATTGTTGGATACCAACACCATCTGGATGAAGGCCAAGAAACTTTATGATAGTTTTGTGGAAAACAGGGACATTCACGATGGTGACCAGGATGGACAATGATAATACAGAAGCTTCTCCCACCAGACCAACCCCATTCAGTACTAGCAAAGGCTGGTTTGGCAAATTTCAAAGATGCTTTGGACTTGAGTGTTTCTCGCATTGGTGGCCTATAATCGTAGCTACTCAGGAGGCTGAGATCTGAGGATTGCAGTTCAAAGCCAGCTGGAGCAGAAAAGTCTGTGAGACTCATATCTCCAATAAACCACCAGAAAACCAGAAGTGGCACTATGGCTCAAGTTTTTGAGCATTAGTCTTGAGCTGAAGAGCTCAGGGACAGCACACAGGCCCAGAGTTCAAGCCTCACAACCGACAAAAAAGAAGTGTTTCTGTACATGGAGAAGCTGCCTCTGCAGATAAAGCTGGAGCCAAGGAGTATGTGAACATGTTCAAATCCATCATCAAGGAAGGGGGCTATAAGCCTGAACAAGTTTTTAACATGGATGAGGTGAAGTCAGCAAGTGAAGAAGAGGAGAGAAATAAGATGAACTGTGGGTTGGAGAAGAGGTTAGCCTAACACATGGTCATCTTGCAAACTAGACAGAATGGCCAAAGCACTTTAGTGAGTGCTGAAGGGATGCCCAGATGCTTCGTTCATTGCACTTCATAAATACAATCAAAAGTGGCCTGTCAGTTTTTAAAAACCTTCTCGCTCAGAAGAAAAAGCAGAAGCCGGGCGCTGGTGGCTCATGCCTGTAATCCTAGCTACTCAGGAGGCTGAGATCTGAGGATCGCAGTTCAAAGCCAGCCCGGGCAGGAGAGACCGTGAGACTCCTATCTCCAATAAACCACCAGGAAACCGGAAGTGGCGCTGTAGCTCAAGTGGTAGAGCGC